GTTGACATCGACCCTCACTGCGCCTCAATCACAAGTGGCTGTCTGACCTTGGGCTTGTTGGGATTGTTCTCCAGTAACCAGTCAGCAAGCCAGATCTGGAAATAAAAGGACAGTTTTAGACACTGTCAAAAGGCATATCAGCATTTACTAAATGCACTCACTGTTGTTAGTTCCAGTGTGTCAAATTCACTTCCAGTCCTTTATACTGAAGGTACCAGCTCTACAAAACATTAGATGTGCTGGGACTGTTTCTAGCCAACAGGCCACATGGTTCCCCATTCATGTACTGACGGGGCACTGGTGGCCAAGTTGTCTGAGGCGCCACGATTCGCTGTGCAGAGTTGAGTCCCTTGGGCACACCACAAACCTATGATTGAGGGTTTAAATCCTGGTTCGCCCCGATTATGTTTCTAGGTTTGTCAGCACCATACACATGCTCGTGGGTTTCACCGAAGTGGTAAATGTCCGAGACCTGCATCACTTCGGGATTTCCTCCCACATAAAGCTGACATGACGTGATATAACTGGAATACTGTTAAAAGCGGCGTTAAACCTAACTCTTTCACTCATGTACTGACATAGTTCTTTCACTGCTAAATACAATTACATCAAATTTCACTTCAAAGTCAATAACAATGTAGTTGCATTCTGCTAAAGAATGTTCTTGAAAATACTTGAAAGTTTCAAGATTGTTCTATTGTAACCCTCGGTGGTCAACACAACACTGTATGATGGATTGTATCAGGGCACATGTATTCTACAACAATGAATTTCATCCTGCAACGACTAACCACAGGGTCCTTGGGCTTCTGCTTGCAGAGATTTGTCAGCCCCTTGAGGAGGGTTGGGTTGACAGCTTTGGACAAATAGTCTTTGGCTGCTTGGCCAATGGCAACTGGTTCTACCACACCTGGAACACAAAGGGGTTTAAGTCTTTAAAAGGCATTTAGAAGTAATACACATAAGGAAGAGAATTTATGGATGTCAACTTCTTTATTATGAGGAACACAACGTTTCGGAGTTTATACTAACTCCTTCATGACCTAACACGGTTTTAGTCTTCATTTACACAACCCCGATACAACAGAACCAGGATGTTCCAGACCTTATGTACCCTTGACAACCTTACAATTGATTACAGTTTGAAAGTTTTTGAAGTCTGTATAATCACTCAGAAACTTCAGCTGCTAGTCTGAACCAGGAGTCCAGTAAAATTCCTTTTGGTCTGGTAAACTCATCTTATGAGTCCATATGCAGGTAAACCTTAAAATCTGGTTGTATGAAAAAGTGTTGTATTTTTAGATGAATTCCTTCTCCATAACTTTTAACAACGCTTCTTTCATTGATTATGAATAAAAAGGCTTTACATACTGTCGGGAAAGAAGAATCGGATTTCTCTCTGTGCACTGGAGAAGCTGTCACTACCATGAAGTGCATTCCTCTGATCATCGGTGCCATAGATGGCTCTCAAACTGAAACACATGTAAAATGTTAGAACACAATGATTTATTTTGTGTGTTTGTTTTTTATCGCCACATTCAGCAATATTCCAGCTATATGGCGGCAGTCTGTAAATAATCGAGTCTGGACCAGACAATCCAGTGATTGACAGCATGAGCATCGATCCACGCATTTGGGATACAACGACATGCATGAACCAAGTCGGCGAGCTTGACCATCCGATTCCAATAGCTGCCTCTTACGACAAGCCTAGTCACCTTTTACAGCAAGCATCGGTTTCTGAAGACCTATTCTACCCAAGATCTTCAACAGTATAGAACACAATGTGATGTTCACCAGGACAATAATTCACAGCCAATTGATTCTGATGAAACTTTGAGAGTGACTTTGTTTAAGGCCACACTGAAGAGTAGTTTCACTATCAGCTTAATCGTTTTGGATAGATAAAGAATCCAAAGTGATGGAGTCAAAGATTTTTACCACATTAGGTTGATGAAACCCATGAGCACAGCTGTGACGACAAATCAAAGACCACAATCAGTGCAAATCTCAGATTTGGACCAATAATCACTGTTTTCAGTTTTTAGACCAAGAAGGCTTCATACATGATAAGTTCATATTAGACAAAGCTGCAGCAAGTTATTGCCCAATAACCTGATTTAACTCATTATTTGTACCTACAATAGCAATTTAATGACATCAGAAACAAATACATAAGGTCTCATCAGACCAGTAAAGATCTGAAGTTCTCTGTTTTATGGAACCTCAACATTAACTGTAGGCCTTGGCATGTCTGTTGCTCAAGGATGATTACAATATTACCGGTACATACCAATCTGGATGTGTCTGCCTGGCTTTTAGTGTGTTTGTTGGACCAACAAGTTCCCTCCAGTAGGAGATGGCTCGGTCTCTCGCCAGGACAAGTGCAATGATTGGTCCACTGCTCATGTATGCCACAAGACTTGGGAAGAACAGTTTCCCATAGTGTTCTGCATAGAAGTCACTGGCTTGTTCTGGTGTGAGGTGGACTCTTCTTTTCTGAAGAAAATATACATCCAACAACTTATATTAATTTCTAATGAATAAAAGATTATTATCGATAAAAAATATTTAAATGCATTTCCATGTGCCCACACATATTTGGAAAAGCACACCCAGCCATCACAACTGAAATGAAATCCTAAATAATCTAATAGTAACATACAATGGTTGATGCTCAGTGACACAATCAAGTACATTGCTTCCTAGGGGAGGGTGTCATTGATTGGAAATTTCAGTATCGGTACACTGACTCAAAGGTATCACAATATATTGATTAATAGGAAAATTAATTATTCTTGATGTGTACAGACATGCCATTAATAAACATAATGCTAATATGAACTAGATGCTGCACCTGTAGAATACAGTACCACATCTTCCATTAAATATTTCATTAAATTAATGATTTGTTAAATGTTTTTACATTGAATTTTCTTCCTTTGCTTTGTACATGTGGATGTTAATCATGATCATCATTATAAATATAAACATTTCTGTGTGAATTATTAATTTAATATCATTACATCCATAACAATATACAACATCCCAAATTGCTCCATCAAGTCTGATGTTACAAAAGTGCAGCAAACACAATAATGTCAACAAAACATGTTTGGACACTGACATTGTTTTGAACCCTTGACACACATTGATTTCATTGACATGAATTGTTTAGCTATGGCAGGTTGAAGTATGACACATTACTGTAGGTTAAGTTATACATACATTTCTACCCTTAGGCCTATTAGCTGCTGTGTTGATTATATTTTGATGCTGCATATTAATCTACTATTTAGGTTCAAAATTTGCAATGATTATTACATAACTAGAGATGAAATAGATCTATGCGTGAAGGCAATACAGAGCTCCAGAGCTGCGTATCTGCGTAAAATACGCATCAGAAATACGCAGTAAAATATAATCAAAGCGTATCAAATACGCAACGAACATTACAGATAAGCTACCCAAAAATAAACTTGTGCATATCATCAAAATATTGTGAAGTAACCCTGCATATTCGATTAGCAAATCAGCAACTTATTTTGAAATTATAAACGGGCATTCCGTCAACCTTGCCAAACTCCACGATGACAGTTACATCACGATCATTTGCCATCACACTTACTGGTGGAAGTATCGTGGTATTTTTGAGTCCTATAAAGTTCTCGAACCCACATGACACCAGTTTGCAGGGTCTAAATGAATAGTGTTTTTTAATATTTAACTTAAATACCCACATGTGTAACAAGAGTGCTTTGAGAGCACAACATCCCCCGCATGAATTTTTGTAACGAGTCAAATGAAGCTCCACAGGCGCAGTTACTCTGTCAAAATTAGTCGAAATGAAACGGGACTGCGATATGGGTATCATCAATATGTGGACATCTTGTGTGTAGAGTGTCAGGGATATTCTTTGGAAACTGTAGGAGGAGTTGATTTCACAAGCTAAGTACCCTCTCTCACAATTAGGCAAATGAAGCTCCGTAAAACAGGGTCAGTAACTCTGTCAAAATTAGTCGAAACGTAACGGGACTGCGATATGCGTATCATCAACACGCCGACATCTTGTGTGTAGAGTTTCAGGGATATTCTCTGGAAACTGTAGGAGGAGTTGATTTCACAAGCTAAGTACCCTCTCTCACAATAAGGCAAATGAAGCTCCGTAAAACAGGGGCAGTAACTCTGTCAAAATTAGTCGAAACGTAACGGGACTGCGATATGCGTATCGTCAACATGTCGACATCTTGTGTGTAGAGTGTCAGGGATATTCTCTGGAAACTGTAGGAGGAGTTGATTTCACAAGCTTAGTACCCTCTGTGGGACGGACAGACGGACAGACTGCGCCATGACATAATCCCCCTTCGGCCATTCTGGCCCGGCGGGGGATAAAAACTAGTGGGTAACAGAAATTTGAATACCCAGATAAAATTACAGATACCCAATGATTTTTAAATGCATGGGTAATACCCACAACACCAAAAGCTTATCTGGAGCTGTGCAATATTTCCATACATATTTGTACTAAACACTGTATTTTGATGATACACAGTTGTCAAGAAGCAACTGTTAATAACAATCACATATTTAATGTTTTATACACCACCGTATCAGCCATGGTAACTTAGGTAAACATTTAACAAATTACCACGTAAGTAAATTACACCATTTCTAAAAGAGACTTCACAACGATTCCAAATTTCGAATAAGAAGCATAAGAGCCAGAAAATGAAAATGTTACCTGAAGAACTGCAAAACCTGATCTGAGTATTATATCCTCTATTTCTTCTGCTTTGTATGTTGAATCTGGCTTGATAATCGCCAGTGTTCTCTCTACATAAATGTGTGGAGCTTCCATAGTGATCGGTTCGTCGTTTTCTCCAGTCATTTTCTCAGATCCCGTTCACAGCCTTTTTCTTCTCAACTTCTCCAAACCACGCTGTCGCTTAGCGACAGTATTGTGATCTCTTCCGGTATAACGAGATTCCATGAGAGTCACGTGACATTTCAAAACATGGCGGCAGCTCGTCGCGTCCGTAGTCACCAGAAAATAGATAGCACTTTCTTTCAATTTTCGCGTTGAACATATTTTTCAACAAAGTACCGTTGCATGGTAAATCCTTCTGTTAATTGTGTTATCGTTTAATTGTACCGCTTGTTACAGTATTGTAGCTGGTCGGTTAGAGAACATATTTAGTTTGTTGTGTTGATCTACTTGTTGAAACCAGCATCCGTCCTGACATGTTGACATGTCAATCTGAGTCTTCCACATTATTTATCTTTATGTTCTTGTACACCATATGACCACAACTCCAAATGACTGTCATATCTATATTTAATGTGATGACAAATTAAAGCAAAATTAGCAACTAACAATTATATTAAAATACTGACAATTTGGAACATTTCATAAAACTGAAATAGCCAAGTGGCCAGAGATTCATCCACCCATATGGATCTATGTCAGTAGGATAGACTGGTCTGCCCTATTTTAATCAATCCTTAACACTGAAAAATAATTAACCAATGAATCAGCTGGTTAGCTGAAAGCTTTTTCAGCTTGTTTGTACATATCAATAATATGTCTGGATATAGATCTAACGGTCACCAACTATTGGACTAACCATGATCAAAATTATTTTATTTGCTTACCACAAGAATATCATGACCTCCATTTACAAAATGACCACAACATCAATGTTTACTGAGTCAAAATTATGTCATAAGCATCACCAGAATAGGGAACACCAGGCTAATAATATATAAATGATATTTAAGATGTAACACTTGTAAAGAATGTACATAATTGGCTGAAGCTGTGTAAAGTTATTATTGATTATAGATAATAGTTATAGTCCACCATTGTATACATTTAAGTTTATACCTCATTTGTCATTTTTCCGTGTCCTTTGCATGTCGGTGAGTTGTATTCAACATCAACTGGTTTTAATTCTTATCCTTCATGTCCTGTGTGAGCCACTTCTCTGACATTGATGCATTTGCAGGTGACAGCTGAAAAATGGACGACTTTGATCTGGATGATCTCCTTGCTGAAGGTAAGAACTCAGATTTCATGTCATCAAAATTCAAGTGATATGGTTATTATGAATACCTACCCAGTTTTGAAATTATGCATGACTGTCAAGGGGTCTGTGTTATGATCTTTTTTGAGTCTTGTGTCAAAAACTGCAGATTTAAAGCTTTATGGGGCCCTGGATTCAAGTACTATGATAGATTATTACCATGATTACAAGGACCACTGGACACCTATCTTCCTATAAACAAACAGGTTAATATTGAGTATACATTGATATAATTTTGTGCATTTGTCATATTTGTTATATCCCCGACCTTTTAGGTATATAGTTGTACCAAGGTTCCGTCTGTCCGTCCGTCCGTCCGTCCGAAAACTTGTCTGCACGATTTCTCTTAAACTATTTAGTGGATTCATCTCAAACTTAGTACATATAATCTGTGTCATATGGAGGGGTGCAGTCAAAAGAAAAAAATTGTTTTTATTAATTTTCCATTTTGTAATGAATTTTTCAAACCCTAACCCTATCCATTATTTAATTTGAAACTACTGACACGCTAGGCAGGTCGGGGTATTAGTGAGCCACGCTCACTTTTGCCCTTGTTAAATCAGTAATACCTGGTATGTGTTTGTCATCATGCAATGTAGATGTATTAGTATTACATGTGCTGAGTTGTTCTTTCATTGCATGTTCAGGGCCTCCTGTGCAGAAGAAGAAACCAGTTCAGAAGGTAGGGGACCAGGGTCCACTTGCACAAAGCGATCTTAGCGCTACAATTATTGTAAATCCTTAAGATCGCGATCTTAGGCTTCGGTTACAATCGTCATCCACTTGCACAAAGCGATTGTAGGCTAAGATCATTGTAAGCTACAATCGAAACTTACAATTGGTCCGGACCAATCTTAAGTAGCTAAGATCGTTGGTGTCCCTGAATAAACTTGACAAAATGGCGTGCAAGGCTTAGTCTGTTTCACATAAAAAATCTGCTTTACGTTCAAACATTGCCTCTCTTTTTTTCTAAACTTTATCATTCGAATCGACACTTTAACAACATGAAGAATGCACCACAGATTTAACGTCAGAAATATTGTTAATTACCATAGTTAAATACGTAACTATCGAGTCGATAGCTAAAAGGAATATTCCCATCCGACTCAATACTGAAAGAAATGTAAAACAACATACCTTTTCGCTAAACAAGGGAAGGATATAAATCTAAGTCGTCCCGCAAGCGATTTGCAACGTCCGTGACCTTTTCGATAAATCAAGGGCAGCTAATCTTAGTTTATACTCTAGATGGGAGTGGTTTCCCTTTGTATAAGCCCGTAGAGTACAATCTACCTTACCCAGTGTATCAATGTTGTTGAATTGCTGAGCTTCCCCTATATATTTTTCGGGTCATATTCGTGTCAGTTATTTTGTCGTTAGTTTATCATGAAATTAATCTACAAATAAATACAAGCTGAAGAGGAAATCATACATGTTTAAATCTAAAATCAAATGGGACGGGGACGAGCGGTTAATCAGAGTTTAAAAGAAAAAAATACAAGTATTCATCAAACAAGCAAATATACATGATGAAACATTTGATTTTTTTTGCAAAATATCCCATTAATATCAAAAATAAAATTCACATTTTAAATTTTTTTTTTTTTTTAATTTATACCTAGGGGTAATATATTAACAATTGCTTCTCGAAACATTACTCATTATTCTTATTTCCCGTCTATGCGTTTTTGAAAGTTCCCGTCTTTCTGTGTTTTGAAATGGTAGTCATAACATCCTTTGTTGTAGCAACGAAACGAAAACATGAAGGATATATTTAGGATTTTACGAAAAACTCCCCCAAATAGATGACGATCATGCATTTACACGTTGGGTTTTAGGAAATATTATTATTATTTATTTTAATTTTCATAATAATTGTGTTACTAAATAATGTATTTATTCGCATTTCAATACTTTGAATAAAAACATGAGTAGGTATTTCTCTTGTTGAAATAGAAAACAATTCCTAAATCACGACAGTATTAATGCCGACAAGAATATATGCCTTCATTCTAGTAATCGTTTCCTTCAAATAATTGGGAAAAGTGCGATGGAGGGAGGTACGTGTTGCGTGTCGTTACCGGTTCCACTTATTGTATGCGCAGCAAACTATGCCCGTTTGCAGACAACTATAGACAGGAGTCGAGTTTAAAATATTCGTACCTCCACAGTTGAAGATTTCAATCTTAGCTAAGATCGCGATCTTAACTCCAAGCCGTCTTACAATCGCGCTAAGATCGGTTTGTGCAAGTGGAATAGGACAATTGTAGGGTGATTGTAAAGTTGATTTTAGCCGCCTAAGATCGATTGTAACTAAGATTGTTCTGTGCAAGTGGGCCCAGATAAGAAGTGCTTAGAATTGCATGTTATTTTTTTCTTTTAACCAGTCAATTTTGGTAAGAATCAGTGTCTGGTATCTGCAGTGTTCATTGTAGAGCACACCATTGCAACATTACCACATCTATTTCAATAACAAAGTGAGTAATATCACATTGTTTCCAATATATATTTTATCTTAATTCTCATATCATTGACCATGTTAACAAAACAACAATTTGCTTGATTTGCCAGTATGTTTACACTGGAAGACATCAGCAGCACATCTTGCAGAAAGCTCAATCCTAATGCGTGAGCACTCCCAGGGACTTATCTTTTTTAATACTTGTGTCCTTGGCTATGTTGGCAGTCAAATTAGGATTTTTGACCTTATTTTTTAAAACTCTGAGGTACTAGCATACAAAGCAATAACATAAAGTAAAGCTGTCTGCTGGCATAATAATTGACAAAGTAATGGAGGTTAGAATAATTTTAAATGTACAGTGTATAATGATGCATAAACACATGGGTGCCGTTGTAAAAACAACCTTAGCACTACGACTGTTGTAAGTCTGTGTTAAGGTATGAGAGTTACGATCACCTTAGCATTGGGTGCCGTTGTAAAAACAACCTTAGCACTACGACTGTTGTAAGTCTGTGTTAAGGTATGGGAGTTACAATCACCTTAGCATTGGGTGCCGTTGTAAAAACAACCTTAGCACTACGACTGTTGTAAGTCTGTGTTACGGTATGGGAGTTACAATCACCTTAGCATTGGGTGCCGTTGTAAAAACAACCTTAGCACTACGACTGTTGTAAGTCTGTGTTAAGGTATGGGAGTTACGATCACCTTAGCATTGGGTGCCGTTGTAAAAACAACCTTAGCACTACGACTGTTGTAAGTCTGTGTTAAGGTATGGGAGTTACAATCACCTTAGCATTGGGTGCCGTTGTAAAAACAACCTTAGCACTACGACTGTTGTAAGTCTGTGTTCAGGTATGGGAGTTACAATCACCTTAGCATTGGGTGCCGTTGTAAAAACAACCTTAGCACTACGACTGTTGTAAGTCTGTGTTAAGGTATGGGAGTTACGATCACCTTAGCATTGGGTGCCGTTGTAAAAACAACCTTAGCACTACGACTGTTGTAAGTCTGTGTTAAGGTATGGGAGTTACGATCACCTTAGCATTGGGTGCCGTTGTAAAAACAACCTTAGCACTACGACTGTTGTAAGTCTGTGTTAAGGTATGGGAGTTACGATCACCTTAGCATTGGGTGCCGTTGTAAAAACAACCTTAGCACTACGACTGTTGTAAGTCTGTGTTAAGGTATGGGAGTTACAATCACCTTAGCATTGGGTGCCGTTGTAAAAACAACCTTAGCACTACGACTGTTGTAAGTCTGTGTTAAGGTATGGGAGTTACGATCACCTTAGCATTGGGTGCCGTTGTAAAAACAACCTTAGCACTACGACTGTTGTAAGTCTGTGTTAAGGTATGGGAGTTACAATCACCTTAGCATTGGGTGCCGTTGTAAAAACAACCTTAGCACTACGACTGTTGTAAGTCTGTGTTAAGGTATGGGAGTTACAATCACCTTAGCATTGGGTGCCGTTGTAAAAACAACCTTAGCACTACGACTGTTGTAAGTCTGTGTTACGGTATGGGAGTTACAATCACCTTAGCATTGGGTGCCGTTGTAAAAACAACCTTAGCACTACGACTGTTGTAAGTCTGTGTTAAGGTATGGGAGTTACGATCACCTTAGCATTGGGTGCCGTTGTAAAAACAACCTTAGCACTACGACTGTTGTAAGTCTGTGTTACGGTATGGGAGTTACAATCACCTTAGCATTGGGTGCCGTTGTAAAAACAACCTTAGCACTACGACTGTTGTAAGTCTGTGTTAAGGTATGGGAGTTACGATCACCTTAGCATTGGGTGCCGTTGTAAAAACAACCTTAGCACTACGACTGTTGTAAGTCTGTGTTAAGGTATGGGAGTTACAATCACCTTAGCATTGGGTGCCGTTGTAAAAACAACCTTAGCACTACGACTGTTGTAAGTCTGTGTTAAGGTATGGGAGTTACGATCACCTTAGCATTGGGTGCCGTTGTAAAAACAACCTTAGCACTACGACTGTTGTAAGTCTGTGTTAAGGTATGGGAGTTACGATCACCTTAGCATTGGGTGCCGTTGTAAAAACAACCTTAGCACTACGACTGTTGTAAGTCTGTGTTACGGTATGGGAGTTACAATCACCTTAGCATTGGGTGCCGTTGTAAAAACAACCTTAGCACTACGACTGTTGTAAGTCTGTGTTAAGGTATGGGAGTTACGATCACCTTAGCATTGGGTGCCGTTGTAAAAACAACCTTAGCACTACGACTGTTGTAAGTCTGTGTTAAGGTATGGGAGTTACAATCACCTTAGCATTGGGTGCCGTTGTAAAAACAACCTTAGCACTACGACTGTTGTAAGTCTGTGTTAAGGTATGGGAGTTACGATCACCTTAGCATTGGGTGCCGTTGTAAAAACAACCTTAGCACTACGACTGTTGTAAGTCTGTGTTAAGGTATGGGAGTTACAATCACCTTAGCATTGGGTGCCGTTGTAAAAACAACCTTAGCACTACGACTGTTGTAAGTCTGTGTTAAGGTATGGGAGTTACAATCACCTTAGCATTGGGTGCCGTTGTAAAAACAACCTTAGCACTACGACTGTTGTAAGTCTGTGTTAAGGTATGGGAGTTACAATCACCTTAGCATTGGGTGCCGTTGTAAAAACAACCTTAGCACTACGACTGTTGTAAGTCTGTGTTAAGGTATGGGAGTTACGATCACCTTAGCACAGATTGCTTTGTACAACTGCAATATGATAAATCTGCATCTTTTGTTTTTTAGGAATAATGATTCTAGGGAATGATCATCCTCCTTTTTAAGAGTAAATGACACCCTTTTATGTTACTGGTGAGCCCTAAGGAACTGCCCTTTTCACCCACTAGAATCTTCATCAGGGTGATGTAGCATGTTAAAGATATGTTTACAAATATGATGTTGATCCCAAGTGTTTCAGTGATTTGATGTGGGAGGATTGTACAGTGTGAATGGTAGGCTACTGTTGTAAGATTCTGTGAAATGTAGGAAATTAAATATTCACCATGATAATTTTGATGAAGTCCAATCAAATTTGGTGTGTCTTTTCAGGCTCCTTCAAAGAGAGGTGGGAAAAGGTAAGAAAGACGCTTATTAGCATGATGGTGATTTATGATACTGAAAGTATGTTATTAGCTTATGTAAGATAGCTCTGCGATAAGTCGCAAAGAACAATGTTTGTTGTTTAACGCCGCACTCAGCAATATTCCAGCTGTAAATAATCAAGTCTGGACCAGACAATTGGGATACAATGACATGCATCAACCAAGTCAGCGAGCCTGGCCACCCAATCCCCATTAGTTGCCTCTTACGACAAGCATAGTCACCTTTTATGGCAAGCATGGGTGGCTGAAGACCTATTCTACCCCGGATCTTCACGGGTACAAAGAACAATGAAAAAGGAAGCATGGTTTATTTCACACTATAACATTGGGTTATTACAAAGTCATTTTTGGAGATTCGAACATGCCCTCGCAACTTTATTTTTGAGAGGGAAGTGTCCAGTGAGTTGTTCCCCAAAGATATAGCTGGACAGTGCAGATAAACGCATTGGCCAAACGATCGCATCCAAAAGTGGGAGAGATATTACAATCGGTATTGGGAGAAAAGGTACAGATAATCGATGTGAAACATGTGAGAATATACAAGAAAGACCAAATTTAACCCCCTTTTCATAAATTGGACTTGTCCGACCTTTCCGCAGTTCGATTATATTGCAGGAGTCATCATTATTTATTTAAATACTGGTAAATATTTTTGAAGTGTGTACTTTTTACTAACATCGTTAAAGAGGCTGTACTTAATGTTGATGTCTCATATAAGAAAAAAATGAAGAGTTGGGGTTATTTATCGTACAATAAAACACTGCAGGGAGAATAAACCACTGTTTTATTGTACAATAAACAACCCCCATTCATCGTTTATTTCTTAAGTATTGTCTTCAATCCAAAGACCATATCTAGTTATTCCAGATCATGTTTTGCAATGTATGTTTTAAATGGTCTCAAGAAAAAGTAACATCAATCCCCAGTAATACAAAATTTCACTTCAATATGAACACTTTAAATATTTATGTCATCCGTGTAAATATAATATGGGAACAAAATCCTTTAAGCTACAGAGATAAAGCTTTTGAGTGAGTTGGGCTAAAACTAAAAGCTTCTATGGACAGTATTCCATTTATATCACGGCGTGTCAGCTTAATGTGGGAGGAAAGACTGAAGTGATGCAGACGTTTACCACTTTAAAACCCATGAGCATCAATGCTTTTGAAGTGAAGTTAGGTGACTATAGAGATTACTTGCAGTGCTCTGGATGAAGATTTCTACAGTAACCTGGCGTCTCAGGCAGGAGAGGATGCAGATTCTGAAGTGTCCGATGTTGATGCTAAGCAGATGGCAAGAGACTTGGGGGTAAGTTGCAAGTCAAGCACTGTGAAAGAAATGAAATGGTAGATGAACTCATTGGAATTTGATTGTTTGCGCCAATATCTACCTCTCTTTATGAAGATCAGAGAACACCTCGGTGTCGTGGCGACTGAACTTTCTGATAATTCGGGGCTTCTTAATATCAGTATTAGTGAGTGAATCATTCAGACCAGCACGTTTGAATTGTGTATCTCAAAAACATTCTAAAATTTACAATTTACAATGTAGATAAATACATCCACTTCATTTTGTTGTTGTTGATATTTTGTACAACCTGTTGTTCAGAGCGCCTTTGCATCTACACCCAGAATCAATGGAATAATTATTGTGTCAGTTTTCATTTGTACAAATAAAAAATTGAAAATTGAGGTAGTCAAAAATGAAGCAGAATTGTTTTAGAAACTTTGCATTTGAATGCATGCCTCCTTTTTTTATATCAGGCGTTCAGGGTTCGACTAAAGCGACCTCCTCTTCCCATGTCGGTGTCCTCATAATAAGAGAGATATTGTATCAAATTTCAAAGTAAAAGATCTGAATTTTTAAACTTACCCGTTCTCACAATGCGTTTCTCCTTCTTTCCAACTTGGTGTGGAAACGCCACAGAACAAAGTTTCCAGCTCAATAAAACATTACTTACAAACACATCCCATCATCACCATGGTCACCACCTAAGCAAATGGGTCAACACTGTAATCCTGTGCATAGCGACCTTACACGACCTGCACACTTGACCTAACCTGCCACATCATTCTCTTTCTAATCACCACAGTGTGAGAACGAATTTGAGTCAGTAGAGAATAGATTTTTTTTTGTGTGTGAGATCTTCCTCCAACAACTACATCACTTCTACAGCAGAAGATGGGAGCTGACAATTAAAAACGCCCGGCCTGTAAGAAATACAGACAAACTTTTTCATCCTACCTTCCGCATCTTTTATGCTGTGATTGCTGTGGTCTATGTAAACCTGCTTGCCATTGCTCCCAGTGTTCCCAACTGTCGGAGGAAGCTTTTCCGATTTATATACGAAGTGCCATAATCTCATTAAAATCAGATCTAATTTCTTGCTGCCGCTAAACAAAGATCTGAGGACATCCCATTACAGGTCACATCAGAAGGACCTTTCGCAAACTTTGACCGACCACTGAAATGACAAACATCAGCCAATTAGAAAGCAGTTTTCTGGAGCTTTATGGTACTCGTTTTAACCTGGCGACTTCCATTTCAGACTACGCTTGAAAAAATATGTCACTTTCATGATCTGGTAAGCGACGCTTTGATTGGTTGGATGAAAGGTCGTTCTGACATGACCCGTAATGGGATGTCCTCAGATCTTTGTTTAGCGATAGTGAGAACTAAGATCTGATTTTAATGAGATTGGAAGTGCCAGAAACGCAGTCGACCAGCATTGTAAGGGACACAGAACACTGTCATCATCGCAAAAGTTGAAGAGAGTTACTAAAACGGCCATTCACTCCAAAGTTGACAAACAATTGAATGATTGACAGTGATACTCTAAGAAAAGACATTGATCCAGGAAGTCTGAGCATTCACATAAAGATAAAGAAAGATGAATCTACATTGCACTAGAGAGAGCAGTCGTTCCGACTCTTAGGGTCAATGTCAACCTTTTGATCGCTTCTACACTCAAGGGCAAGGCCGATCCAAATCAACATTTGAATCACCATCGATTCAAGGATAGATCTCAATCTTCAGATTTGGATCCACAGAGTATCAACATTCATCCGAGGATCGCTATTGACACAATGACTACATGGATCAACATCACAGCGGATATAATGTTATGCAGATCGCCTACTACTACGATATATGCCTCCAAGACAGTGACACCAAGATCGACATCGTTACCCGTATCAACGTCGACATTCATCACACACTCGACGCACCGCCCCATTGACATCTGTCAGGTTGACAGTCCTGTGGCAGATTGTATACTCCATTGCCTGATTGTACACAATTTCCCCATCCCATGGACGCCCCTGAAGGATCCACCGAGTACTCAACCTTTGCCTACATTGTAGGATCATTGGGACCAACTGGTCCTCTCATTCACTGAGTTTGTCACTTCTGCAGGCTAGACTATGGCCTTACAACAAAGGACTGGCCAGCCAACCTTGCCTCCTCGGGATACCACGGCTATTTCGGCACTCTCTACTCATGTCGCTCCTCCTGCCACTACACATCTGTATCACCTGGACGCTACAACACAGCCAGATGTGGCCCCATGTATGGCACTGGCCATAGACGAAAAGAAATTCCACATCACAACTTGGAATTCAAGGCAGTCATTCTGGCGGTGTCCAGTGCCGAGATCAGCTGAAGTTGCCACCAGATGCAGCATTTCAGCGGTGTCCTAAGCTCCTACCTGCTCACATCTGCATTATCCTATCTCACACGCTGCATGTCTTCCCAGCCATCCCTGCATCACAGCTCCTCTAGCCTGTCAAAGAAAGAGAAGGATGTGGCAGGGGTAGTCAAATCATCACGGGATTACAGTGTATGACCCATTTGTTTGGGTGGTGACCATGGTGATGCTGGAATGTGTTTGGGTTTTAGAAGCTGGAAACTTTGTTCAAGCACATTTCCACATAAGGATAGTGTGAGATAGGACAAGTATATGAATATACAATTTGATGTAAATTTCCAGATTTAATGAGACTGAGTGAAGTCTACTCAGTACCTAATATTCAGCATATGCTCATTAAATAAGGCCCCAAAATATGTGGGTGTTTTCTCAGTTACCTGATCAACCTTTATCTGCAACTTTATTCATCCCTCACCTGAAAGGAAACAAATAATTCAATATTAATCAAGCTGATGTATTTTCAGGGCTTGGATGACATGGATGCCGATCTGTTCGGAGGGCAGCTGCCGAAAAAGAAAGGAAGCATCAAAAGCGGAAGTGGACGATCTGGTAAACAGACGACACCTCGTAGAACTCGTACACCGCGCTCAAACAGCAACACCCCTCGCTCAGGGGGCAACAAGCCAGGGTCCCCGCAGAGAGTTGCCTCCCCTTCTAGTGACACCCCTACAAGTCCTCGGGGTAACAAGATGAAAAAGAATCCCTCGAAACCCAGCTCCCCACCTCCTCAGATAACCATGCCCAAACCTGGAACAGCTCCAGGGAAGATGACAGGTGAGTGGTGACAGCAGTAGATCCAGTGGTTTATACTGGTCACAGCAACTTTTATCCAGCCCCATTTTCAGAACACTAATTGCTGAAACATTATTTAGTGCTTCGACTGAAACACCTTATTCACTATTGTTGAAACTCCAGGAGTATGAACCCTTGATGTTTTCAATTGAAATTACTCGAATATTCATTGTAGAATCTGTCATTAATGATGTTTTCATATTTCTTTCAAAATGTCTGACTTTTCTTTTTATCAGAATTGTATAAAGAAAGTGAAAACTTAAAGCCTGGACAAGTGAAACCTGAAGATGACCGTCCTCGTACAGTGCCTAAGGCTAAACCAAAGATGGATTTTGGAGGTGAGTGTGACAGTCACAGCATAGTTAATATTTTTGTCTTGTCAAAGCAGGACAAGCTACAATCTCTGAGGACTAGTGAAATAATACACTTTCCCCTTCCGTTCTCTGTCTGTTTTAGTTGCACCTATTGGCCAGATAGTCTGTGGTTTCCCAATCTACTCCTACTTGCCTGACAACAAATCCGACCTCTACTGTCTTGGCCGAACACACTCCCCTGCCCACACTCCAGACAGCCTCATCCCAACCCAGACTTCTCCATTATTCACGTCTGTTTCCAATGGTCCCTCAGGGCCAAGGTTTCTCGGCTAGTGCCACTGACGCCTCCAGGGCACATCACTCATCCACTCGCTCCCTCTACCATGACCCATCACTCCAGTGGAGGCCACCGTCCTGGCTGACTTCCTGCTGTTTCTATGCAGAAACATCCCCTTGCTGGTTGCTATTTGCCTTGCGTCCTTCCGCTTCATCTTAAGGATAGCCCGAGTTACCCGACTTGCTTCAGTGCCAGAACTCTTTACCTTTCTCAGGGTTCAAGCTGGAGACCCTGTAGGAGAAGTTCCATTCTCCTCAACAGGGTTCTACCCCAGGAGTCACTTGCGCCTGCTTCCATTGAGGTCCTCCCCTTCAGGTTTTGCCTCCTACTGGCCCTTACAACGGTGTCCGGGTTGGCGTTCTTCAGATTCTTGATGTCAACCTGACTGCCAGTTTCACATCTTGCCGCCTTCTCAGATTGTCGGCCTGGACGATTCCTATAACCTCGTCCACCACGTGTCCACACGGTGCCGACGCCAGCATCAGCATCTGTTCATACCAGCCTCCAACTGTGTCACTATAGAAGTCTCCATTTGTCTCCTATCGGCCTTCCATCGTGCCCCGAGCCACATGAGCCCTGGCAACTATTGCCCTCAGTGCCACCATCTCCGTCTGATCATCATGGAGGAATCTTCTAGTCATCAACGGCTATCCTTGCCAGCAATCACCTCATCGAGGTGACAGACACCCTCGGTCTCTTTGTCCTGACCCTGCAGTTGACCAACCCCTGATGTCTGTGAAATTTCATGCACTGACTTTACTGATAAATGAGTTCGAAAGTTGGCGTCTTAAATTCATTTTTTACAGAGTTGTGGCCCTTGCTCCTTGATTTTCAACAAAGTGCATAGTGTCTGCAGTGGGAACAACTTTTCTCAGAAACCATTGACATCGTATGATCGACAGTTTTGCATGCTTATCTGAGATACTTGTCAAGTCAGTTTAAAAATTGTTGCTGTCAATTATTTTTTCAAGATTTACTTCCCTTGATCCATGTTATTTTACTTGGTACATAGTGTCTGCAATGGGAACAAGTTTTCTCAGAAACTACTGAAACTTATCTAAGAGATACTTATCAAGACTGTTCGTATAATGGTGCCATAAATTATTATTTGTTGTGTGTTTTGTGTGTATTAACTTCACATTTAATAATTTTTGTTGTTGACATAAAGCGATCCCAGTGCCGATCTCTTGTTAAGGCTTTATAGGACTCATTTTAACTAAATAAACAAACAATGTGCCCCATGGTGGGGGAGAGTGATAACACTGGTTTCTTGGGACATCATGTACAGACTCATGAAGATACGGGGTAGAATAGGTTTTCAGCAACCCATGCTTGTCGTAACAGACAATTGTGTTTGTCGTAAGAGGTGACTAACGGGTTTGGGTGGTCAGGCTCACTGACTTGGTTGATACATGTCATCGTATACCAGTTGCATGGATTGATGCTCATGATGACAATCACTAGATTGTCTGGTCCAGACTTGATTATTAACAGAGCGCCATCATATAGCTGGAATATTGCTGAGTGCAGCGTTAAAAAACAAACAGACAAACAAACATCATGTACATGGTCTAGCTTAGTGTTATGTATTACTGTATTGGTTTTGCAGAGTTTGATGAGGACGACCCACTGGCTGGCCTGGATTTGTCAGAGGATGAATCCTTTGCCCGACGTAAACCAGCTGCCAAACCTGCTCTGAAGCAACAGAAGTCCAGTGAAGAACCCTCAGCCTCACCCCCTGTCGTGGAACCTGTCGGGCCAACCAAGGATCCTCGTAAGTTGCTGTCATGACAAACATCTTTTCCTTTCTCAAGAGGCTACGGGACTACCCATTACTGGTCATGTCAGATTGAGAACAATCTTTTGCGCGATTTGTATAGCAGTACCTCTCATAGACAGAAAGTTTCTTCTGTTTTAAGTGTTTATCCAATTGAAGAAGCGATAGACAAAGGTTTTGACAGAAACTATCTTTTTGGAATACCCCATGTTAACCTTTTCATGGTTTCCCGATTTCATGATTTTCACTTTCCCGATCTGGTAAGCGATGCTCTGATTGGTTGAATGAAGGTCGTTCTGACATGACCCACAATGGGATGTCCTCGGGTGTGTTCGGAGGATATGTTTTAAGAAGCTGGAAACTTTGTTCAAGCACATTTCCATAGTGTGAGTTTGGATAAGAATTATATACAATTTGATGTGAAATTCACAAGTTAATATGATAAAGAAAGTAATGTTTAATTTGACTGAATCATGGTAGGACAGTTTTTAATTGTTGATCTGTGGCAAACAGATTTGGTTTTACATTTTGGACTTTGTTTTCCTCGCTGTGCAGAGTTGCATCCCTTAGCCTTGTCAAGATCTGCCCATGGGTTTAAAAGCCTTGTTTTAGTCTCCGATCTGCATGATTTGTGTCACATAAGGCATAATTGAAATATTGTTCAACTTGTACAAAGCAGTGCTTCACTCACTCACAAACAGTATTATTTGACATATTGACAGTCAGCTTGTGCACATATACAAGTGATTCAATTTCCATATGTTTATTTACAAATGACTCTACATTGGTATATTTTCTACATTGGTATAATCGTTTAGGAATGCCCCCCATATTCATGTATTCATACACGAGTGACTCCACTTCCTCATGTTCGTCCTTGCTTCAGAATCTCCCAGAAGGAGGAATCTTTATGATCGTCCGCCAACCCGAAGCGGAAGTGGCAAGGAAGATGAGGAGGAGTCGCAGCCGGAGCCAGTAGCAGCTAAACCTAAACCAGGTCCGTGTGGGGACTTTCTTCATTTTCTGATACTGCAGTAATCTAGACTTGCCAAACATTATAGACTTGCATGGGCTGTATTGGATGTATTTTTTTCAGGGTTCAGACAAGCTCAGTCCCTTAATTTGCAACTGAAAGAGAGTCAGCTGTACATTGTTTTGTTCCTAGAAATTTTCTCAAAGTTTAATTTTAGCACCAGAAAATGATGGAAAGTGTCGTTTGTCAATCTAGATTCAAATTGATCAAGACTAAGAATGTAGTTTCTAATCTTTTCTTATGAGGTCTGTCATATTGTGAATATATAATGTAGTTCAGAGTCAGAGTCTAGAAACTAGGCTTTGATATAGGCAAGTGGACACTCTAGCCTCAAGAAGATCACATTATTTCTCCTCTGTTGGGATTCAAGTTAGAATTGCTCCGCAGCAGCCAATGCTGGTCGTAGGAGACATAATAAATAAGGTGTTTCTACTTGGTGTCCTGGTGGATGGCAGGTCATAGAGCATTGCTCATGATATCAGTCACTTGTTTGTCTGGTGTAGACTTGATTATTTACAGATGACCATAGTATAGGTGAAATATTAATGAGTATGGTGTTAAACAACAATAAATAAACAAACAAACAAACAAACAAATAAGCTCGTTACTCTCTAGGGCTGGGACTATACACCAACTGTGCGATCCGATACGTATCTCGATACCTTGCTCACGATCCGATACGTATCACAATTCTTGCATGTGCACTTTTCTGTGGTGCATGAGCCATGTTTTTCTTAGACAGGATGGCCAAATACCTGGCACACTAACGATTTACAGTTGGTAGTGTCAAGTATGGCGCAATGGATGAAAATATTTACGTTTTCACTACTCATTTTCACCAGTAATTAGTGTTTGGTGTAACATTTATTGAAGAATACATTTAAGGTAAGAATCGCTACTTTTTTCTTTGTGTGGGATTGTGATCGATACTTGTACCGAGAAGTAAAAAATCGCGACCCACCGATCCATCTGTGTAACGTCCTACTCCTATTACTCTTTGCAAATGTTTGTCAGATCTTGATGGCCTTTTATCTGCATGTCCGTGTATGTGAACACTTCCATCAGGTTGAAGATAACAAGGTTCATCTGCTCATGTACACAGCTGATGTTGAGATTTGTTCTTGGATTTTAATCAAATAAATGAATCATATCTATACCTTTTCTTGTCCAGCTGTAAAGAAAAAAGATGAAGTAATCTTCAGCGATGAAGACGACTTTCTGCTTGGAATGGAGGACAAGCCTGTTAAGAGTATAGAGAAGACTAAGCCCAAGCCTGATGACCTTGAGAACAGCCAGAGGTCAGCCAAGTCATTTATGGATGGGCTGCTTGGGAAAGGCTCAGCAACCCAACAGTTAGAGACGAAAGAAAAGAAAGCATTTACCTTAGACAGTAAATACTCCAAGTCGGAAGGTAAGAAATATGAATGTTTTATGGATGTTCTTATTGTAAATTTATTAACTAGCATGATTTCATATTTCGGAAGACTATCCACATTATGTCATTTCTCTTTGTTTGTGTTAAGCTAACAAAGAGGAGGAAGATGACTTTTTGTTCGGGAGTTACCAGCCATCAGTAGCCTCAGGGTCAAGGCCAGGGTCAAGGAGGTCAGTCAGGTGAGTAATGATGGCGATAGTGTTGGGGTAGCCAGTAATCCTCAGGCCAGAAGGACCAACTCAAAATGTTAGTTTATAACTGAAAGAATAATGTGTGATAAAGGATCCTTTTTTCACACTTAATGTGCGTAATTTATACGATTGTAACGATATATCAAACTAACAAACTTTTGCAATTGTTTGAATAAAGATAATGCTATATCGATAAGGATATATATCAATAGTATTGTCAAGAGTATGCATAACTATGGATAGTTTCAATAGTTGCAATTAGTTTTTAATAAAACATAAATTATGCCAATTTTTAACCTGCCTGTGTGTTGGTTAGCATGGATTACGACTACTTCAGATTTGAGTTACTTCCCTTTGGGTTCTTTGCTGCAGGGAGAAAAATGTCCGACTTTGAGATTGTCAGCAATGCTTTTATTAATTTATATTACATCGATTAATATAATTATCAAGCCTTAAATTTGGTTTACTACTATCGCAATACTCTTGCAATAGTGAGGGCTACTATTCAAATACAATTGCAATAGAGAAAATAGCCCCAATAATCCCCCCAAAGAATTTAACATGTATTATAAACCAGCAAAACCTTGAGGAAGTGTTGAAATGTTATCAGATGTAATAAAAACATTAATATACTTTGTTCTTTTCAAACCCGTGCTGTATAGATAAAATATATCCTAAACAAGGTCATTTGAGAGGTATTTGGAAAGCAATTTTCAAAAATTTGAATATAAGCAAGTCTTTAACTAAAGCATGTTTAACTGGTTTTCTTTGGTGCTGTATGTTACAGTACAAAGAAATGATGAACAAGTCCTCTTGGGTCCAGAGATGCACAAAATCTTCAAAAAATTGTCCCTTTTCACATGCATGTTTTAGAATGCATACTGATACTACTACTACTACTACAACTACTAATGACCCGTGAAGATCCGGGGTAAAATAGGTCTTCAGGAGCCCATGCTTGCAGTAATAGGCGGCGATGCTTGTCATAAGAGGCAACTAACGGGATCGGGTGGTCAGACTCGCTGACTTGATTGATGCAACTAACTAACTAACTAACTAACTAACTAACTAACTAACTAACTAACTAACTAACTAACTAACTAATCCATGCACTATTATGGGTAAGTGGAGTTGGTGTGGATGTTTACATTTATACAGAAAGTTAGTTATATGCAGTACGGATAAGAATCATCTACTGGGTATTCCTTTCTCACACATTGTTAAGCACAGGGCCTTGTCCGTGATTCTTTCTTGTATTGCTGAGTGTGAAGATTCTTGAGAACTGGTGTAGTGTGGTCACGTTTTGGACATGGGGATATAATCATGGCTGCTTTATTCTTGATGTGCTGCAGTTGATCAGTGAGCTTTTTAGGTGCACCTTTTAAAAGAACACTACAGTAGTCTACTCGAGACCTAACCAAGGACAGAACAAGTGTGATAGATAGAAGCAAGTCTTGTCAGATATTTCCAGATTTTCCCTATGTTTCTGATTGCAAGAAACATACTTTGGAGATGTTGTTGATGTGTTTGTCAAGGCCAGGTTCTGTATCAAGTAGGAATCTTTGATCATGTTCTTGAGTGGAATTTACTGTATTTGACATAATACGCCCCGCTCTAATAAGCGCCCACGGCAATCTTTGCTAATATATTGGCTAGTGAACAATCCCAATTAGCACCCCTTCCAATTGATCAATGTACACAAGACTTATTTATTCGTGTATAATACGCACTCGTGTGTTATATGCACCCTTAATGATGGGCAATTAAATTCCACAAAAATAAATCTGTCGTACATAAACATTTCAGGCTGTCAGCATAAACCACGAAATTTATCTTTTAACTCTGCTTTTTTCACCAAAATAATATTCTAATAAGCACCCCCCTATTTCTAATTTTGAGAGTGCCCTGGGCGCTTATTACGTCGAATACGGTATGTAGCACCAACTCTGATGGATTCAAGTTGGACCTATGAGCACGGATTTTGGTTTTGTCTCCATTTAACTTCAACCTGTTAGAAGTCATCCATCCTTTGCTATCATCACAGCAACCAGCTGTTTGTGCAACTGCTTCTGATGCTACTGAGGGGTGTGGCTTGAAAACTTTCATGAGCTGGGAGTCATCATGATGATCCCATTCTTTGTTCATTTGGAAAGTTACTGGTAGATTAAATATGCTATATTTTAGACCTACCTATCGTAGAGAATTTTAATACTTTGAATACAGGCCTGGCCTTAAGTCAGCCTTATTTACATATTTACAAATTTTTTAACTTATCCTGCATTACTCCGTATTGCATTTACTGCTGTCTTTGACAGAGAGACGAACTGTGTGAGATCCAGCTGCTGAAGAAAGTTGTTTCCATCTGTCCAGGAAGCAGTGCCCCCTCCCACACAGTCGGCACGTGACCCGGAAGACATGACGTCATGTCAAAACTCATAACTGCTTTGTCAACCACATGGATCGGACGTGAACTGTATCCCTCAGTGGAATTATTAAAGCTTTCTTGGTCCTGACTTTCTTTCGTTTTTCTACGACAAAAGTCTGCTGTATTACCTTTGCCTTCATTATATTGTTAATTGGTTACATTTCTCGCTCGGGTTGTGACTCTCGTCACGGTTTTTCCGAGCGTATTGTTGTTTCCCGCCATTTTGGTTTACCGCCATTTTTTCCCGCCCTGTTGCGATTCACTACGTGTCCATGTACTTTCGTGTTTTGTGTCTTGAATTCGCTCTATGGTTGGAGTTTTACATTAAGTTTAATGATTGTTTTTGGCGTGTTTGAAGCGTAATTGTTTGCTCTTATTAACTTTGTAACAAGAATAAGTTATGTTGAGTTACATTATGTTTCACGTTGTGTGTTTACACATCGTTATGTTTTTTGCTTCAATTCCAGTATGTCTCGCTGCTCTCGCTGCCGCGGGAATAAATCTGGACGGGACCCCCACCCCTGCTGCCTGGACTGTACAACCCCGTGTACCCTCACAGAGCGTTGCAGTTATTGTAGTCCCCAGTCGCCAGTCTCCTTCACCGCCTACCTAACGGAAACGATTCACCCAGCGTGTGCGTCGACTCTCCAACATGTCATCCAACGTAGAGTCTGCCTCCCACGGTCTCCTACACCACCCTTACACCACCCTTACCGTCGTCTGCTTCGACATCATCGTCTGCAGCATCGCCCGTTTCGGGTTTCCTGTCACCTCTACCATCTACGACGACAACTCCGGCGCCTCTTGGTCCGGCGCCTCCGATGTACCCGGCGCCTCTTGGTCCTTCGGCGCCTCTTGGTCCGGCGCCTCCGATGTACCCGGCAACTCCGGCGCCTCTTGGTCCGGCGCCTCTGATGTATCCGGCGCCTCTTGGTCCGGCGCCTCCGATGTATCCGGCGCCTCTTGGTCCGGCGCCTCTGATGTCTTCGATGTATACGGCGCCTCTGACTACTTCGGCGCCTCCTACTTATGGACATGCCCTTCCGTCATCGTTCATGGATCCATCTTGGATGCAAGCTTGGATGCAGTCATTGTTTGCGCAAGCTCAACCCACCTCAGCGGCGCCGACGGTGCCTCCTGCGACGCCGGGGACGCTGACGGCCCCGACTACTGTTACTTCGATTCCTGCGGCCCCCTCCACATCGGGTGCTTCTCGGTCTCGAACATTGTACACCTCGTCGCCTCCGACTGTTTCTCGGCACTCGTCCAAGTCTGCTCGTTCCCGTCGTCGCTCTCGTAGTCGCTCTCGTAGTCGCTCACCTGTACATAGACGACGACGTCGTTCCTCCTCCTCGGAAGGATCATTTCGCCCCAATTATGACCCTCCATCTCCCGAGATTGATACACACTTGGGCCTTTCACAGGTTGCTGATTGGTTGCCGGACCGTCTGGCCTCCGTCGCTCCCTCCCCGGGCTCTGATGTGGATAAAAAGTTGACGATCTGGTCTAATCCGACTTCTCTACCACCCGACCCAATGCTCACTGACCTGGTTACGGCGTTGGACGAGGACTTCGCTAAGTTGTCCCTCACGCCGTCGTTCAAGGCTCCGCGTTTCCGGCGGGAAGATTTCCCCGTCCACTCCTTCGACGTGGCCGACGGTGCACATATCCTTGACGAGGACTTACATCGAATGACCGGGTCTTCCCAGTCCGTCACCATACGTATGCCGGACTCCCGACTCGCTTTCGTGGAAACAGAACTGCGCCCTACTTTGAAGCCACTATCTACACTTGCCTCATCTGCCAGAGCCATTGACCAGGATCTCGCTGAATCCAATCCTAACAGGATCGACCACTTGCGCACGGTTATGACATTCCAACTTCGCCAGATCGATCACATGCGCAATCACCTGAGAGCTGCGCTTGCGGAGATCACCACTACTCGACGGTTGGGTTACTTGACTTCCACGGACTGGGATTCCGAATTCAAGCGTTCCTTACTACGACAACCTTGGTCGGGTCCTACCCTTTTTAATGGTGCTATCTCCGCTACCCACACCCGAGTCTCCAGCTTCGCCAGGGATGAAACTGCTCTCAGAGCCTTGGAGCATGTAACACACCAATCAGCGGCCAAGTCCTCCAAAGGCAACTATAAACCACGCCGTTCCTCCCTCAAGGTCGTCTCCAAACATACCTCGCCCTTTCGTGGGACAGGGCGTGGTCGTGGTAGAGCCCGTGGCACTTACCAACCCCGAAGGGATCGTCGCCCCGGCAAGGGTGCCGATTCCACCTCAAAGCGTTGACCAGCGGGACCTCAACGACTGGGACCTCCCACCCCCAGCCGTTCAGGTCACCGACACACCTGTGGGTGGGAGACTAGGCCGGTTTTGGAGAAACTGGTCCATACTGGAGGACCCATTCGTCACCGACGTCCTCCGTCAGGGGTACCGGCTCCCATTGTCTGCGCTGCCTCCTCTGACGTCTACTCCGTCAACAGCCGCTTATTCACCCCACCAGCTTCGGCCCCTTCACGACAGCATCGTTTCCCTACTGCAGAAGGAGGCCATAGAGATCGTACACGACCCGGCTCGACACCCAGGATTTTACTCTCTGGTGTTTCTGGTGCCCAAGAAGGGGACCACCAGCTGGCACATGATACACAATCTCTCCACTTTCAACCGGCACTACCTGGAACGTCCTCCCTACTTCCGCATGACGACGTTGCGACTGCTCAGGATGAGAATCTCAGCTGGCGATTCCCTGATCAGCCTCGACATCCAGGACGCCTATCTTCATGTACCCATCCACCCCAACGACCGGCGCTTCCTCAGGTTCTTTTTCAATGGTACCCATTACCAGTGGGCGGTCCTACCATTTGGAATTTCAACGGCCCCGTGGCTTTTCACATGGATCACCCGCCCGGTCGCCGCCTACCTACACCTGAGGAACATCAACTTCGATCCATACATCGACGATTGTCTCCTCAACAATCGGGACTCGGCGTTGCTACTGCGTCACAGGGATTTTACCCTGCGGCTCTTCAATCAGTTGGGTTGGATCGTCAATCAGACCAAGTCGGAGCTGACCCCATTGTTCCGTCTGCAGTTTATCGGGGGCCTGTTTCTCACGGATCAGGACCTCCTTCAAGTCCCCAGAGACAGGTGGTTGAAAATCCTCGCTCATCTCTTCCCTGCCCTTCAACAGGCTCGAACTCTCCGCCAATGGCAGGTTCTATTGGGTCTCCTCACGTCGGCTCAAGACCTGACTGCCAGAGGTCGCCTCCAACTCCGTCCAATTCAACAGTTTCTCGCACCCTTTATCCGGCAGCAGGATCCGGAGTCCCTCATCGTCCTCCCGGTCCACCTCCACCCCTTTCTCCGATGGTGGACGGTGGAATCGAACGTCTGCGGCGGCGTCTCCTTGACCGCGCTACAGCCCTCCCTCCACCTGTTCGTCAACGCATCCACACAGGGTTGGGGGGCTCATCTGGGGACTCAAACAGTTGCAGGGCTGTGGTCCGGAGATCGACTCCACTGGCACAGCAACAGCCTCGAACTCGAAGCTCTCATACTGGCCGTCTCCCACTGGCAGAGCATTCTCCGTCACGCCCAGTTGACCATCTCCACGGACAACATCACCGTGGTGTGGTGTCTGAGGAATCAGGGTATTCTCCACTCTCAGTCCCTGCTCAACCAGACCTTCCGATTCTTCGACCTGGTGGACCGCTTAGACTTGCAATTCCTTGTTCAGCACATTCCAGGTTGCAAGAATGTTCTGGCAGACGCTCTGTCCAGGCCGGACAAGGTGGCTCCCACCGAATGGCGACTCCACCCAGAGATCTTCACAGTCCTTTGTCAAACGATCGCCACTCCAAACATCGATCTGTTCGCCACGTCTCAGAACTGCCAGCTGCTGACTTACATCTCGCCGGTCCCGGATCCGGCCGCTGTAGCAGTCGACGCCTTCAGTGTTCCCTGGGAGGGATTAAGCGCGTACGCTTTTCCGCCTCCCGCTCTCCTTCCCAGGGTTCTTCAAAAGATCCAGGCCACTCGACACTTGACACTGATTTTGGTCGCGCCTTGGTGGCCAGCCAGAAGTTGGTTTGTCGACCTCCGAAACGTCGCCAGAGACAACCCTCTAGAACTGCCAGCGTGGTCCAACCTTCTGCTCCACCCACACAGTCGGTTGCCCCACCCAAGTCCCGCTCGGTTTCATCTGCACGCCTGGCACATCTGCAAAAAGCCCTTGGAGCCAAGGGCTATTCGACTAGAGCAGCCAAGGCTATTGCTTTCGCCCATCGTCCATCTACACGGGAACTATATGATGATAAATGGTCCTCGTTCCAGGCGTTCTGCTCTGACAAGCATCAGGATCCGATGACGGCATCCCCGCAGTTCCTGGCTGAGTTTCTTCTGTACTTGTGCAGCACGCGTGGATTAAAAGGCTCTACCATCTCCACGTACCTGGTCGCCATTAACTCCGTCCTTGCCATCCCGGACGACCGGAGAATGACGAAAATTCCCGAACTCCAGGCTATGCTGCGCTCGTTTCGTCTCGACGACCAGAAAGCCAAGTTCAGACCACCTGCGTGGGATCTAAATGTGGTCTTAAAGGCTCTTCGGGAGGCTCCCTTCGAACCACTCCACACGTCTTCCTTTTACGACTTAACGAAGAAGACGGTGTTTCTACTGGCCTTGGCTACGGCCGCCCGGGTTAGTGAGCTCCACGCCCTCGACGTCTCTCGGGTCAGGTTCGAACGCGGGACTCATGGAGCAGTTCATCTTGGGCTGTGCTGGGACTTCATCGCAAAGAATCAACTCCCCGGACAGCCTGATAGATCCTTCACCATCCCTCCACTTTCGTCGATTGTGGGTGCCGACGACGTGGAGGAGCTTTTATTATGCCCAGTTAGGGCCCTGAAGGTTTTCCTGCGACGATCTAAAGCCTGCCGTAAGTCTAGGAAACGCCTTTTCCTACCGGTCTCCCCTTCGTCGCTGTCGGAGGTCAGCCGGAATACTATCTCCCTGTGGCTCCGGGCGGTCATCCTCCAAGCTTATAAAGTCGGATTGGACCCCCCCAAGGCTAACAACCCCCACGAGATTCGGGCGGTCGCGTCTACCATGGCTCTGCACAGTAACTGTTCCCTCAAATCTATCATGGAAGGCTGTTTTTGGCGTTCCGACACCGTTTTCACCAACCACTACCTCCTTGATGTAGCCTTGGAAGATGTCGCTGGCGTTCATAGCTTTGGTCCCCTGGTGGTAGCTCAACAGGTCACCAACCCCCGACGCCACTGATTCTCCGTTACCCTGAGCGGGGCCCGTCGAACTCTCTGGTGTTTGTCACCACAGATTAGAGGGCTCTACTGCGTTCCGCATTCGCTCTTAGGTCAGTGCTAGTTTTGGCATTCCCGCCTCATACTATTTCTGTCACCTATTTCGGGTTCCCTCTTTTGCATCGACTCTCGTTTCCTTTGACAGGAATGGTCGCTGGTGTTCCGGTCATCTCTTGTCCATGCGGTGCGATTTCATCGGACCTTTGTCGAGGGTTTTTCTTCTGGCTCACATCTGAAGGTATGCCCACCGGCCGTGCCGTCTGATAAAGATGCAATACGGAGTAATGCAGGATAAGTTAAAAAAATTAGTAAAATCTAAATATTTTTTACATTTGTATACTTATCCTGCATTACGAAGTCTAAGTGCCCCCCCTGCGCTCCGCTTCCTCCCCACGAAGTTTCCGATGTTATGTTAAAGCAGTTATGAGTTTTGACATGACGTCATGTCTTCCGGGTCACGTGCCGACTGTGTGGGAGGGGGCACTGCTTCCTGGACAGATGGAAACAACTTTCTTCAGCAGCTGGATCTCACACAGTTCGTCTCTCTGTCAAAGACAGCAGTAAATGCAATACGGAGTAATGCAGGATAAGTATACAAATGTAAAAAATATTTAGATTTTACTAAATTTGTCTCCAAAGAACTTCAGTAATTAAAAAAAAATTGACTTAATTAAAATACTTGACTATGCTACCTTGGTACTTCACAACAGACAATTATTGTGCAGGAATCATGGCAATTATTTTCAGGCCATGTGATGTTTCTCAACGATCTATACACAACATTCACTCACTCATCCTACCTCACACTAATGAGTTGAAATTGTTATTAAATGGGAAACATTTTGATTGACTCGTATGTTTCTAGATTTCAGGATGACGATCTGTTTGGTGAAGATAAACCAGCATCTAGAGGGCGAAGTCAGTCACCAGGGGGCTCTGCTAAGGTCCCAGATGGAATGGATTGGTTGGACTTTAACACAGATGATAAACCTGCCTCACCAGCAAAAACAGCAGATAAACCAACAGATTCCAAACCTGCTGAAACAAAGTCAAAATCTAGTCCATCTGACTGGTTAGGGTTGAAAGAATCCGAATCCAGTGATGAGGACTTCTTCAGACCCAAAAGAACACCTCCACCATCTAGCCAATCAGGACGCAGGACACAGCCACCTAAGGCCGAGCCTAAGAAAGACAAAGCAGATGACTGGCTAGGACTAGCTGACAAGAAATCTGAGCCAGATAAGAAAGAAGTCAGTGACAAGCCAGTATTTTCTGGTATGAGTGATTCAGCCAAACAGAATGACGACTATCTAGGTTTGGGCAAGGAGGTGGACCTGGATGATATTCTCACGTAAGTAGTAATTATTGAGCTTCAAGCAGATCTACCTTTTATTTGTGACCAAGAAATCAAAACTGCATTCACGATAGTGTATCTCCTTGGTGTCAGAGTATCTTTTTGTATCTTGCGTATACGATTTTGTGTCAAGAAACGGACTGATGATACTACAGGTATCACAATACATCACATCAAACAGTAAGAAATGATGAAATCACTGAAATGCAGCTTTAAAACCTTTCTTCATACATTTATTTGTGGCGGTCAGGTAGCCTATTGGTTAAAGGGTTCCTCGTCACGCCGAAGACCCCGGTTCGATTCAAGACATGGGTACAATGTGTGAAGCCCATTTCTGGTGTGCCCCGCCGTGATCTTGCTGGAATATTGCTAAAAGCGGCGTAAAACCTCACTCACTCACTCACTCACTCACTCACTCATTATTTAGTGTTATCTCAAAACATTAACTATTAACACCACAAGAAAAAAAAACGTTTTAAATGAAGGGATGGTTATTAAATGTAATAGTTAGTCGGCTTATCCTCGGTCACTATGGACCCGTGAAGATTCCGGGGTAGAATAGGTCTTCAGCAACCCAAGCTTGCCGTAAAAGGTGACTATGCTTGTCCTTAAAGGGCGACTAACGGGATCGGGTGGTCAGGCTCGCTGACTTGGTTGATGCATGTCATCGATCCCAATTGCGTAGATCGATGCTCATGATATTAATCACTGGATTGTCTGGTCCAGACTCGATTATTAACAGACCACCGTCATATAGCTGGAACATTGCTGAGTGTGGTGTTAAACAACAAACCAAATCAGTCACCATGTCCCCGTGTTCTGCCATGCATACAGGTGGCGCTATGCTACTTCTGCCATTATGGGAGGTAACCATTTGGTCCTGTTTCATTAATGGTGTATCGCCATTTCACATTCTGCCGATTCCAGTATCGATGATATTGTAGATATCGGTGAAGCATGATATCAATTGGTTGTGTTTTGCCTGTTGGGATATCAGGTTCCTAACATCCCATGCTTGTTACAAGAGGGAATTGGGTGGTCACAATGTGTGATCATAGGTCATTATACCAGATGGCATGGAACATTTCTACTCCATTGGGATTCCAGGTTAGAATAGGTCCAAACAACCTATTCTGTCGACGTGGTCAAGGCCTAAGAGGCAATAAAAGGAATAGTGGTGGAATATTCCTGACTGTGACGTTAAGCATTATTTATCATGTTTACTGACAGTCTTTTTACCTGAATTCTTTCTCTGATTAATAACTGGGAGTAAATCTAATGTAATTCTGAAGACATTTGATTAACAACACCGTTGTTTGCTTTTGAATATTTCCATCTGTAATTCATCACGGCTTGTGTAGTCAAGTTGTCATAGACACAACTGTGCAGAGTTGCTGTTCTTGATGTGCCCGAAACATATGATGGGGTTCAATCCCAGATTTGCTCTGTTTATGTCTCTAGGTTCGTCAGGACCATACCAGTATTTGTGAGTTTTTACCAAACTGGTCAAGGACCCGTGAAGATTCCGGGGTAGAATAGGTCTTCAGCAACCCATGCTTGCCGTAAAAGGTGACTCTACTTGTTGTAAAAGGCGACAAACGGGATCGGGTGGTCAGGCTCACTGATTTGGTTGATGCATGTCATTGATCCCAATTGCGTGGATCGATGCTCATGATATTAATCACTGTATTGTCTGGTCCAGACTCGATTATTTACAGACCGCCATCATATAGCTGGAATATTGCTGAGTGCGGCGTTAAACAACAAAGCAACCAACCAACCAACCAAACTGGTCAACTTCTGAAACCTGCATCACTGGGCTTTTTCCCACATCATGCTGGCAGGCCGGGATATAACTGGAATACTGTTCAAAGAGGCGTTAAAGCAAACTCACTCCCTTGATAAACCTGTAAGCTGCCACACTGATGAGCATCTCTGTCCCCAGGTCCAGGCCTGATTCCCCTGCCTTCAGAGGTCAGACTCCTCCGGCCTTCAACAAACAAGATGACCGAAACAAGGATCTCTTCACCCCTCCCCCTACACGAGGCTCTGGGTAAGACTGACGACCATTTTAAAGTTTCAAAATTTGAATAAAGAGGAACTATGCCAAACATTGTGCATTACCATGTGATAATTACAGGTATTTGTGAAGCTAGGGACAGCATGGATCTGACTTCGGTATGTGAAGTGCCTATGACTTGCATAATCAGGGTAATTAAGAATGAAGTCAAGGGGCCTTTGTCATTACTCAGAATCTCAAATTGAAAGTTGAAGGTTTAGAGGGTTCCTAGATTCAAATACTGCAAGGGTAAATGACAAGGACATCAGGACCGACTTTAATTTCACACGCTGTCATAAATCATAGTAGTGACATCCTAGGTTGTCCAGGGATTGACTTAGGCCGCGATTCCACGATATTCTCGCATAGTTGTCATAGATATCTCATCAACATTCATTGAAAGTTGCATAGATTTCTACATCTAACTGCTTGTATTGCTTAAATAAATTCTACCATAGCAAAATCTCATCACAGTCTCGCCAAATCTCATTTCTTTGGACCAAGGGAGATATTTCTCTCAAAGGTAAAAATTTCCAGGATGATCCTTGTTTGTCATGAGTCTTACTTTGGATTAATTGATTTTCTCTTTTGGTTTATTGATCAAATATCAGTTTTTATTCGAGTACATTATCTTCAGTTCATCAGCAAAGGAGGAATCTCACACCAGGCAGACGCGACCGACGACTGATACAAGAACTGAAGATGGATTCATGAGAGGCAGAAGTGAGTAATCTTTGAGATACAAAAGACAGAAATATTGAATTCCCTCTCATCTGACCCAATGAATGAGGCACAAATGGATGAAATGTATCAATTTGTGCCCAAAACTGTTGAGTCTTCTTGTCCGAACCTGTATCTTGACATCACTTTCAGTAGATAGTTTAGTCATTATCAACTGAGCTGATTAGATCAAACAGAAGTTTATTTGACGAGTCTTTGGACAGATCTATGTAGTCATATCAATGAATAAAATGTTTAATTCATCTAGAGATAACGTTTAGATTCTGTTGTAAAATAGGTCCCCACTACCCCGAGAGAAGAATATTGTTGAATACTGCATCGAACTCACTCACTCACTCACTCACTCACGCACGCACGCACGCACGCACGCACGCACGCACTCACTCACTCACTCACTCACTCACTCACTCACTCACTCACTCACTCACTCACTCACTCACTCACTCACTCACTCACTCACTCACTCACTCACTCACTCACTCACTCACTCACTCACTCACTCACTCACTCACTCACTCACTCACTCACTCACTCACTCACTCACTCACTCACTCACTCACTCACTCACTCACTCACTCACTCACTCACTCACTCACTCACTCACTCACTCACTCACTCACTCACTCACTCACTCACTCACTCACTCACTCACTCACTCACTCACTCACTCACTCACTCACTCACTCACTCACTCACTCACTCACTCACTCACTCACTCACTCACTCACTCACTCACTCACTCACTCACTCACTCACTCACTCACTCACTCACTCACTCACTCACTCACTCAGATGGCTCTGTGAAACAGGTTCCTGAACCACATTTAAGCTATATCACAACGCCAATAGCTAGGGATGTCATTGATAGAATAACAGCCTGTTGTCAAGCTCCTGAGTAGAAATGTTCATAATAACTTTGTACGTAGAGGGAGCAGCAGGCTTTTCCCAACACCGGACACTGGACAAGGAGGATGAAGTGGACATGGGTCAAGCACCAGGGCCTCCCCCTCAGGCCAAGATCATGTCCCAGGTGTACCAGCAGCAACCCCTCAAGAGAGATGTCACTCAGTATGCTGGGCCCGCTCACAACATGGCCACAGCAGAACCTGCAAAAGAAGTCATTAGAAAGGTGAATTGAATTATGTCTTTGTTTTGTCCACATTTGATCCAGCTGCATGTTAATTTTTACTTTGAATCAATAACTTTCTTCAGAACCAAAGTAACTGAGATCATTTAAAGTTATTATCCTCCACCCCAACGAAGTTGGCAGTGATGTAGACATTATCTCCATCCGTCCATCACGTTTCGTTTCCGGAGCAGAACTGGGAAACCATTAGAAATGACTTGGTACACACATTTACCTTATGGTGAAGATATGCCTTTTGCTATTTAGGTTTCCCCTGCATTTTTAATATATCTTATATATATATATTTAAATTTGGATTTTATCTCTGAACTGATTGGAAGAAGTGACCTTCATATCCTGAGCAGGACTCAAAAACTATTAGAGATATCTTTATGAAACTGGGTACACACATTCACCATATAGTGTACATGTGCCTTTTGCTATTTATGATTCCTCCAAATTTTTCTTTTATTTCTTTTAATTTTCATAAATTTGGACTTAGTCCCTGAACTGAATGAAAGCAGTGGGTTTCATTTCCAGAGAAAAACTGGAAAATTATTAGAGATATCTTTAAGAAACTTGGTAAAAACATTCACCATATAGTGTAGATGTGTCTTTTCCTATTTATGATTCCCCCCAATTATTTTGTTTTTAAATAAATTTTATAAATTTAATGAATTGAATGGAGCAGTCTTAACAATTTTAACAGTATTGTTATGTACTTCCCTGTGAAATGTTGTATAATATCAATCTAATGCTGTAATAGAGTCTTTGTTCTTTAAAGATTTTAAAATGTTTTGTTTTCTTATTTCAATTAAATGGAACACCAGTGAGTAGACACTGCAACAAACAAAGCAAAAAAGGATTCATAGTAGATGTATTAGAAATTTTCACCAGGTTTTGAGGGGTCAGCATGCTCACATCTTAGGGCTGTAACAATACCTGCCTGTATGACAATGCTCTACAGACCCGTGAAGATTCCAGGGTAGAATAGGTCTTCAGCAACCCATGCTTGTCGTAAAAGGCGACTATGCTTGTCATAAAAGGCGACTAACGGGATCGGGTGGTCAGGCTCGCTGACTTGGTTGACGCATGTCATCGATCCCAAATGCGTGGATGCTCATGATATTAATCACTGGATTGTCTGGTCCAGACTTGATTATTTACAGACGGCCGTCATATAGCTGGAATATTGCTGAGTGCGGCGTTAAACAACAAACCAACAAACCAACAATGCTCTACAATACAGTTCATGATATCTAAATGAGTGAATTGTGCTCAAGGAACGTGCTCATGGATACAAAGTATTCTTAGCCTTCACGTACTGGAAGATGATTATAACCTTTGTTTATCTCTAAAAGTCCAGTTTCCACCCTTTCCAAGCGAAGCTGGAATTTGGGGGCTTGATTGTAGCGCCACCAGTGGCTATTACGAATTATGTTCTTTCTATGTCCCCCCTACTGACCAATCGGATTCCATCTCTCATATCAATTGCATTCGCTTCAAACAAAATGGCGGCACCCAGTCAAGACAATTTGATCGATGATCAAGGTATATATTGTAAGAGAACAGGTGTTACTTCGCGAAGTACATCAAATCATGTGAGCACCTTGATTAAAAACATTTTGGAAATTATGTCGACGCCCAGTTGACAGTACACATCCTTTGCAAATCCTGCAGTTGACTGAAATCTGTACCTTGAAATCCATGTTGTTGATGAACCGGATGTCGATTTCGTTAAGCGATTTTGATTGGACTATGCATAGACTCATTAGTCCATCAAAAATTTAACTCTCCGTAATTGTTGCCTAGTTCAGCAAGGGTGGAAACTGGACTTTTACAGTCAGTTAACTCGCTTGTCTTGAGGAGATGTAGACTTTCACATTTGAGCATCTCTGAATTTTTCAGGACTGTGAGTCTGAAACCATGCATGGATGACTGATGCAATTGCTTCATTGTTTAAGAACTGCTTGTGATGTGTGAAAACTGTATGTTTGGCAGGGTTCAATAGTAACCACAGGCCCAGGTTACAGTCAGTCTCTTCAGGACTTCCTGGAGGAGCCAGTTCCCATGCCCAGTCAGCGACAACCCCAGCAACATCTCCCGGACTTCCAGCAGCAGCAGCATCTGCTACAACAGCAGGCTCAACTACAGCGGATGATGCAAGACCTTCAGTCACAGTACCACACCTCTCCACAGGTAGTAAGGATTTGTCTTCGTCCCAGTAACAGAATATATTTGGAATCAGTATCAGTTTTGTTATGCCCCAACAGGATATTATGTGAGACAGCATCCTTTACCCCTGTGTTGTTGTTTTGTTGTTGTTTTTTTAGCTCCGCACTCAGCAAAGTTCCAGCTATATGACGGTGGTCTGTAAATAACATTCTGGACCATACAATCCAGTGATTGACATCATGAGCATTGATCCCCGCAATTGGGATATGATGATATGCATCAACCAAGTCAGCGAGCCTGACCACCCGATCACGTATGTCGCCTCTTACGACAAGCATATTCGCCTTTTACGGCAAGCATGAGTTGCTGAAAACCTGTCCACCTGGATCTTCACAGGTCTTTACCCCTGTGATTAATTGTTGGTGTAAATTAGAGTTATAGGAATGTTGCTTTTAGTCAACCAATCAAACCTGCATGCTATGAAACTGATAGGAAGAAAAGTAACACAGCCTTTCACAATGATGAGTGGACACTTAATTTTGGACTTTGTTAAGAAAATGTTGGTAGGCAGAGAAATTATGTTAATATTGGGCCACTCGAAGGTTATCCTGAGTGTTATGCCAGGAATAGATATGATTGAGTAGTGGAAACACGTACACCTGGTACTGATGATGATGATGATGATATGTACAGTGTGGCCATTGTGTCCAGTTCATGCACAATCCCATTAAAATCAGATCTTAGCTCTCACTACCGCTAAACGAAGATCTGAGGACATCCCATTACGGGTCATGTCAAAAGAACTGTTTGTGAACATTGACCGACCAATGAAAATGACACACAAGAAGTCAACATTAGCCAATCAGAAAGCAGCTTTTATTTTAGCTTTACGGCTCAAGTTTCAAACTGGCGACTTCCAGAGTATGCTTGAAAATATGTTGAAGTTCTCGGGTAAAAAAAATTTAAAACTGAACAAAAGAACATTCTGGAATGTCTAATATAAGGTTGAGGTTGTATGGCAGTACTTCACACGTGCTATGCAACGTCTCTTCCTAAAGATGTTTATCCCATTGAAGCGAGAAATAGACGATGATTTTGACGGAATCAGTCGTACAGCCCGAAACCGTCATTCGAAATACCCGTGTTAACCTTTTTGAGGTTGCATGAATAGAAAACACATTCCGACAGTCACTTTCCTGATCTGGTAAGCGATGTTCTGATTGGTCAGATGAATGGTTGTTCTGATGTGACCCGTAATAGGTGTCCTCAGATCTTTGTTTAGTGGTAGCGAGAACTAAGTTCTGGTTTTGATGAGAATTGGTTCATGCCTAAGTCAGCTGGGTTCAGGGGGTGGGTATTGGGGTACAGCTTTGGGTAGCGAATTGTGGATCACTCCCAATACCACCAACCACACAGTTTTAATTATTTAATTTTCAAGAATAATTTCACAATTAAGAATTGCACAATAACATTTATTAAATTACAAGAATATAATTATTCTTTTCAGTATTTCATTCAGTTAGGAAGATGTACAATAAATATAAAATACTTGAATGTCAACTCACATCTCTCGGCTCGTACCGGCTTTCACTCTCCAATCAGAAAATCTACAGCCGATCAAACTGTCAACAAAGTGACGTCATACCGGAAGTAGTCTCTCGCACGAGGATACGGTCGGTGGAAGTGAGGAAATTGCACTCCACCAGTGACAGAAGTTATTTTACTTCATGTCATGGCTATGTAGTAATATACAATGCATTCAGATGGACTAGATGCATGTTTGTAGCCATACAAGGCTGATTTAAGCCATTATGCTACAAGAAGTAGTTTCGTGGAACAGACTCACGAATATAGGTGACGTCACACGAACTATCATGTTGCCAAATCGAAACAGGTGATTTAGAACGTGTTCACATTTTGTTTTTGCACATTAAACAAACAGTCAGTAAGATCAGTGGTGATATACATTAATTCATGTAGCAATAACGTATATCTTTACGGTAGTGTGCTGTATCACATACAACATATACAATATGATTCATCTCACTGTCTACTGACCGAAATGTACAAAAGGCTTGTACATTACAGCAGCCACAGCTGCTATTCCATGTGTCCCTGTGACTGACACACTAGATGACACTGAGGAGCTCAGCACAATACTGCATGGACATTTCAGGTGTCCAGACTCATCACTTCCTTGTGTGTTTGCCAGTTCTGTTTTTCACAAATATAACAAGGGCGGGCAAAATCATACACGTTTCCTTTGTATGCTGACAATTTATTTTTGTGATTATTGAACCATAACTTTTTTCAGCTGATGTTACCCGTTCAGAGACAAAATCGAAAAATAAACCAAATGTGTGCTATCCTTCAAATTTGAGAATTCAAATACATGAATAAGATCATGTTACAGTGTGTGACACCAGCAACTAGTCTGAAGCCCAAGACAAGTAACATTTTGTTTGGTCAAGACGCTGAACTGACATAGTCCATATGATTGTTACTAAAATCTGCTGAGAATGATGCCAAGAGATTAGACTCCAAAGGCTTTTGTACTTGAGTAATGCCATCAATTTTCATGTGGACCATGTTTCAGACTACACCTAGTATCCCAGTCCTGGGGTCGACGCCCTTCCCCTCAACTCCACAGTCCTTCAACAGCATCGGTGGCCGTCTGGACGATCTTCCTGGATCTTTAGAAGAGGCTCAATCAAGGGTAAACCTGACAGAAGATTGTAGTATCTTCATTATTAGTGGTATCCTCCTAACACAAGTGTCTACTATGTCTACTCACAATAGGGGCAGTTTGGTAGCCTAGTGGTTAAAGCGTTGGCTCGTCATGCCGAAGACCCGGGTTCGATTCTCGACATGGGTACAATGTGTGAAGCCCATTTTCCAGTGTGTCCCGCCGTGATATTGCTGGAATATTGCTAAAAGTGGCGTAAAACCATACTCACTCACTCACTCACTCACTCACTCACTCACTCACTCACTCACTCACTCACAGTTTTAGCCCACTAGTTCTTATAGTGATAACATATAGCAAAACGCTTAAAAAGGTCACATTTCTACTAGTCCTTATGATACCTTAACTATTGGGAAGTTTGGCAGGACTATAGGACTAGTGCCAATTTCTACAACATTGCTGTGGAAACTCATTTAGAATTTGGAGTTTCTGATGAACATTGTGTTATTTAAAGGTCTTGTGATAACGTTTAATGATCATGAATGTTTGTGTAGAATTGTGTGCTTCTGTGAGATGAATTATGGGATTGTGTGGTTTTCTCATCAGATTCGAAAGCTGGAGATTGAGAAACATTATACAGAGTCGTTGTTGGACAGTACGAGGAGGAGATACGAGGAGGAGATCCAGGCTATAGAGGCGTCATATAAGTAGGAATTTTATCTTAGCATAACAATTCCCATAAATAACGTCACTCATGGTTGTAATTTACTTCAAATGTTTGAGAGATTTTAGTATGTTTACTTGCAGACAAAATTTACATAATCAGTTTTGAATGCATGTGTAACTTTAGGTTTGATTGCAGGAAATATTTCAAGTGTAGGTTGAAAGTAACCTGATGTACTAATATTTTGATTCTTTTTCTCTTTCAGAAACAGACTGCAGATTTTAGAAGATTCTAATCGCAAGAAAGAGACAAGGTAAATTTTTTAAGTTATCCTGCATTACTCCTAACTGCATTTAATGCTGATTTTTTACAGAAAGATGAAGCCGTGTGAGGTCCAGCTAAAGAAGTGGAGGCTGTGTGATGGGTTTGACCACACAACTAGTTGCACTTCACACAGCTTTGTCTTTCTGTAAACAATCAGCGGTAAATGCATTTAGAGTAATGCAGGATAAATATACAAATGTAAAATCTAGATTTTACTAATTTCATTTTTCAGCACAGTTGCATGAATTCACATAGGTGCATCATAAATGTCTCCAGCAGATAGTGAGTGAGTATGGTTTTACGCTGCTTTTAGCAATATTCCAGCAATATCTCAGCAGGGGACACCAGGAATGGGCTTCACACATTGTACCCATGTCGGGAATCGAACCCAGGTCTTCGGCATGACGAGCGAGCGCTTTAACCACCAGGCTACCTGACTGCCCCTCCAGCAGACAGTGACTCTGATACCAATATACTAACAAAAACACTATCTGCCCAGACAGAGGGAGTTATATGTCCAATATTTCGGATGCAGTTTGTATGCCTTGTGGTGTGGATGTGTGTTGCAGGTTACGGAACGAGAGTGAGCAGCTGATGGCCGACCACCTGGAGCGTGTGAGGAAGATGGAGCAGGAGAAGGCAGACATCGCCAGCCAGAACTACAAGAACCTGGAGGAGGTGGAGCGGGCTAAGTCCCACGACATGGAGAAGCTGAAGGAACAACACAGGTACTGACATAAGCAGGAGGAACTATACATGTACTGACATAAGCAGGAGGAACTATACATGTACTGACATAAGCAGGAGGAACTATACATGTACTGACATAAGCAGGAGGAGCTATACATGTACTGAGATAGGCAGAAGGAACTATACATGTACTGAGATAGGCAGAAGGAACTATACATGTACTGAGATAGGCAGAAGGAGCTGTACATGTACTGAGATAGGCAGAAGGAACTATACATGTACTGACATAGGCAGAAGGAGCTATACATGTACTGTTATAGGCAGAAGGAACTATACATGTACTGAGATAGGCAGAAGGAACTATACATGTACTGAGATAGGCAGAAGGAACTATACATGTACTGAGATAGGCAGAAGGAATTATACATGTAATGAGATGGGCAGAAGGAACTATACATGTACTGAGATAGGCAGAAGGAACTATACATGTACTGGCATAGGCAGAAGGAACTATACATGTACTGAGATAGGCAGAAGGAATTATACATGTACTGAGATAGGCAGAAGGAACTATACATGTACTGAGATAGGCAGAAGGAACTATACATGTACTGAGATAGGCAGAAGGAATTATACATGTAATGAGATAGGCAGAAGGAACTATACATGTACTGAGATAGGCAGAAGGAACTATACATGTACTGAGATAGGCAGAAGGAGCTGTACATGTACTGAGATAGGCAGAAGGAACTATACATGTACTGACATAGGCAGAAGGAACTATACATGTACTGAGATAGGCAGAAGGAGCTATACATGTACTGAGATAGGCAGAAGGAGCTGTACATGTACTGAGATAGGCAGAAGGAACTATACATGTACTGAGATAGGCAGAAGGAACTATACATGTACTGGCATAGTCAGAAGGAACTATACATGTACTGAGATAGGCAGAAGGAACTATACATGTACTGAGATAGGCAGAAGGAACTATACATGTACTGAAATAGGCAGAAGGAGCTATACATGTACTGAGATAGGCAGAAGGAACTATACATGTACTGACATAGGCAGAAGGAACTATACATGTACTGAGATAGGCAGAAGGAACTATACATGTACTGAGATAGTCGGAAGGAACTATACATGTACTGAGATAGGCAGAAGGAACTATACATGTACTGAGATAGTCAGAAGGAACTATACATGTACTGAGATAGGCAGAAGGAGCTATACATGTACTGTGATAGGCAGAAGGAGCTATACATGTACTGAGATAGCCTGCAGGAACTATACATGTACTGAGATAGGCAGGAGGAACTATACATGTACTGAGATAGGCAGAAGGAGCTATACATGTACTGAGATAGGCAGAAGGAGCTATACATGTACTGAGATAGGCAGGAGCTATACATGTACTGAGATAGGCAGAAGGAACTATACATGTACTGAGATAGGCAGAAGGAACTACCGTATATGACCGCGTATAAGCCGAATTTTGAGGACCAGAAAAAAGATTCTGTAGAAAGGGGTCGGCTTATCCACGGGATACACTTTCATGATAGTATTTTTCAGATCGTGATCTGTCAGAAACATCGCCTGAATGACGGTTCCGATAGATCACAACTTCCTGAAAGTTTGGAAGTTGCCACGACTAGAGCCATTATTGTTATAAATTATCAATAAAGTTATTATTATACACCAATGTTGTCATTATTAAAAAAATGTTATGCATGTTACTACTTCCGATAATAAGTTTTCAATTGAATGTTCAAAGTTTATCGTTCTTCGTAAACTCCACAATTTTTACATGTAACAATGTATGTAATTCACAGCTATAATATATAATCCCCAGATGAAATCGCCAATAGCTATTACGTACATTTTGCAAAGTTCATAAATTGATAGTGAACAAATGTCTACCTTTATTGAAAGAGGCAAATAAACAACTGTATCGGCGAGTAATTCCGTTCGCCATTTGCAAAAACATGTGATCAGCTGTTTCCTGTGACGTCACAAACGGTGACCACTGTGATTGCTTCCTGTTGTTTAAAAAGCAACACGGTACACAAGGAAATGAGCATTGATAAAAACGGGCCGATTGGTATTGTCATGTTGTTTACACAAACATTTTCAAGTTGTGGGTGCTTAGCGATCGTGTTGGGAGTAGGGGCTTAATTCCTTTGTTTTCGAGAGAGTAGTTTAATAAACTGGAGAAGCCTGTGAGTAAGTGATGGTCATTCAATGTGTTCATAGTATGATAGTTTATTTAATTCAATTGGATTAACATACAATAGTGGTGTAAAGGGGGTTATAAAAGTTGGTATAATTTTACTGACTGACATTCTCATCATGAGTTTGAAACAAAAAACGCCATGCTTACTATGTTGAATTCAAACTGCGAGTCTTCGCTCTAGCTGATATATTTTCTCACGGGTTCATAATTCTATATACACCGATTCACAAAATGGCGCTTCGTTGTTGATGGCAACATATAACGTTCATTATGAGATTAAAAAAACCCACGAGAAACAGCTTCCCACATTATGAAAGTGGATGACTGGTTTGTTAAATCTTTATTAGAAATAATAATTACTTTTTCAATATAATTACAACGTTTTTCATCTTTTTGAATATCTGCGAGTACCGGCACATGTCTTGCAGTCCGACTTCGCAGTGTTTTTTTGCCTTTCAATTTCTGGTTCGGCTTATCTGCGGGTCATATCATTTTCTTTCGTATTTCAATGGTCAAGTTAACACCTCGGCTTATCTACGGGGTCGGCTTATCCGCGGTCATATACGGTATACATGTAGTGAGATAGGCAGAAGGAACTATACATGTACTGAGATAGGCAGAAGGAACTATACATGTACTGAGATAGGCAGAAGGAACTATACATGTACTGAGATAGGCAGAAGGATCTATACATGTAGTGAGATAGGCAGAAGGAACTATACATGTACTGAGATAGGCAGAAGGCACTATACATGTACTGAGATAGGCAGAAGGAACTATACATGTACTGAGATAGGCAGAAGGAACTATACATGTACTAACATAGGCAGAAGGAACTATACATGTACTGAAGAAGGAACTATACATGTACTGAGATAGGCAGAAGGAACTATACATGTACTGAGATAGGCAGAAGGAACTATACATGTACTGAGATAGACTGAAGGAACAACACAGGTACTGAGATAGGCTGAGGGACAAATTAGGAAATCGAATGAGTACAGAAAATGACTGTATAACTGTAAACCCTTTCAGATTGGCAGTTGCTGAAACAAAGAGAGAGCAAGAAGAGATGATAGAGAGGCTGAAGAAAGCCAAAAACCTGGAGATCGAAGCAGTGGCCAGTGCACACGATACCTCCAAGTATGTCATATGATTCAGAGGACAGTTTTATGTTGCAGATATTGTGCAATCTGTGGTAATACCTGATCTACATTGATCTAGTGACGATATTTCACAGGGTTGTGGCAATTAGAATCTGTGATGGATGTGTAGCTTCATCATATGAAACCTGGAGAGAAAGTACCTCAGTGAAAAGTGTCAGGAACAAAGGCATACCACAGTTTGAAGCTCAAAGGACCATACATACAAGACTTGCTACAGTCATACATTTACCTTCAGTGTTAACTAATGCATCATCTGATGCTATGTACAATAATACAGCAAGTATATTAAATTTCTTCTTCCCGAGGCAAGGGAGATAACTGACTATAAAAGTCTAGTTTCCACCCTTGCCGAACTCGGCTGGAATTTCCAGGCTTGATCGTAGTGCCACCAGTGGCTGTTACGAGTTGTGTCCCTTCTATGTCCCTCCTATTGACCAATCAGATTTCACTTCGCATATCACTTGCATTTACTTCAAACAAAATGGCGGCGCCCAGTCAAGACAATCAGATCGATGATCAAGATCAATATTGTGATTAAACGGGTCTTATGTCGCGAAGTGCATTAAATCATGTGAGCACCTTGATAAAAAAACCTGAAACGATTTGGAAAATATGTGTTGACGCCTAGTCAGGAGCCTGACTGTATATATGTCTCCAGGAGCCTGACTGTATATATGTCTCCAGGAGCCTGACTGTATATATATCACCAGGAGCCTGACTGTATATATATCTCCAGGAGCCTGACTGTATATATGTCTCCAGGAGCCTGACTGTATATATGTCTCCAGGAGCCTGACTGTATATATATCACCAGGAGCCTGACTGTATATATATCTCCAGGAGCCTGACTGTATATATATCACCAGCAGCCTGACTGTATATATGTCTCCAGGAGCCTGACTGTATATATATCACCAGGAGCCTGACTATGTATCTGCTCCAGGAGCCTGACTGTATATATATCACCAGGAGCCTGAATGTATATATGTCTCCAGGAGCCTGACTGTATATATATCACCAGGAGCCTGACTATGTATCTGCTCCAGGAGCCTGACTGTATATATGTCTCCAGCAGCCTGACTGTATATATATCACCAGGAGCCTGAATGTATATATGTCTCCAGCAGCCTGACTGTATATATATCACCAGGAGCCTGACTGTATATATGTCTCCAGGAGCCTGACTGTATATATGTCTCCAGCAGCCTGACTGTATATATATCACCAGGAGCCTGACTGTATATATATCACCAGGAGCCTGACTGTATATATGTCTCCAGGAGCCTGACTGTATATATATCACCAGGAACCTGACTGTATATATATCACCAGGAGCCTGACTATATAAATGTCTCCAGGAACCTGACTTTTTATATGTCTCCAGGAGCCTGACTGTATATATATCACCAGGAGCCTGACTGTATATATATCACCAGGAGCCTGACTATGTATATATATCACCAGGAGCCTGACTGTATATATATCACCAGGAGCCTGACTGTATATATATCACCAGGAGCCTGACTATGTATCTGCTCCAGGAGCCTGACTGTATATATATAACCAGGAGCCTGACTGTATATATATCACCAGGAGCCTGACTATGTATATATATCACCAGGAGCCTGACTATATATATCACCAGGAGCCTGACTGTATATATGTCTCCAGGAGCCTGACTGTATATATATCACCAGGAGCCTGACTATATAAATGTCTCCAGGAACCTGACTTTTTATATGTCTCCAGGAGCCTGACTGTATATACGTCTCCAGGAGCCTGACTGTATATATATCACCAGCAGCCTGACTGTATATATGTCTCCAGGAACCTGACTGTATATATATCACCAGGAGCCTGAGGGACCTGACTTTTTATATGTCTCCAGGAGCCTGACTGTATATATATCACCAGGAGCCTGACTGTATATATATCACCAGGAGCCTGACTATGTATATATATCACCAGGAGCCTGACTGTATATATATCACCAGGAGCCTGACTATGTATATATATCACCAGGAGCCTGACTGTATATATATCACCAGGAGCCTGACTATGTATCTGCTCCAGGAGCCTGACTGTATATATATCACCAGGAGCCTGACTGTATATATATCACCAGGAGCCTGACTATGTATATATATCACCAGGAGCCTGACTGTATATATATCACCAGGAGCCTGACTATGTATCTGCTCCAGGAGCCTGACTGTATATACGTCTCCAGGAGCCTGACTGTATATATATCACCAGCAGCCTGACTATATATATCACCAGGAGCCTGACTGTATATATGTCTCCAGGAGCCTGACTGTATATATATCACCAGGAGCCTGACTGTATATATGTCTCCAGGAGCCTGACTGTATATATATCACCAGCAGCCTGACTGTATATATGTCTCCAGGAGCCTGACTGTATATATGTCTCCAGGAGCCTGACTGCGGTGGTGGAACAGATCCAGAACAATGCCAAGGACCTTGGGGAGCTGCAGTACAAGGTGGACAGCTGGCACCGTCAGGGGCTTGACGACAGGGAGATCACTCTCAAGTCCAAGGACGAACAACTCCGGAGTAAGTCTGTGACAATGTAGTTGTCAATAACTGATATCTTTCCATCTTTCCTGCCCAACAAACACCATGAGCGAAACTAAATAGACACAAGTAAAATAGTTGCTAAAACATGTTGCCGATGGCTTTGACCTATCATATTTAACAGTTGGGACTTATGTTTGCTGAGATTATTTCAAACACTGTTTAAATATGTTGGAGATGGATTTATGCTATCCTATACTACTAAAAAAAAGTGAAGGACCACGATTCTTTCATATTACTGTAGTTACTCTGTCAAGGCATGGCGGATTAACTGTAGTAATATGAAAGAATCGGGTGGTTCTTAACTTTGTTCGAGTAGTATATTTAACGGTTCTTTGCTGAGATTATTTAAAACACTGATAAACTATGGGCAAAAATAAAGAAAGATTTCTCCATATAATTTGGTGAATTTAAACATAATTGAAATCCACCACGGCAACAGATTTGAACAGAAAACACAACAGACCGTGGCTTGATGCATTTGCCGACTCACAAAGTTAAATACAGCTTGGGTAGTGTAGTCCTTCTCACTAAATTTGACTCATGCGTGTTCTTCACAAACTTTTTTTGTGGAATTTAACCATTTAATGGTTTTTAATGTCATTAAGTCTGAGGTTTAGTGAGCCTAAATTTTATAGGTGCAAAGTAATTAATGGTATTTTAAGACCATTAATTTTCTGTTTTTTTCATCAAACAGATTTAATGCTTTGTGCAATTAACCCTTGAAGATCAGGGGTAGAATAGGTCTTCAGCAACCCTTGCTTGCTGTAAAAGGCAACTATGCTTGTCAGATGAGGCGACTAACAGGATCGTGTGGTCAGGCTCGCTCACTTGGTTGATGCCTGTCATTGTATCCCAATTGCGTAAATTGATGTTCATGGTGTCAATCATTGGATTGTCTGGTCCAGACTCGATTTAATTACAGACTGCCGTCATATAGCTGCAATATTGCTGAGTGCAGCGTTAAACAACAAACAAACAAACAAAGCTTTGAGCCTTGAAATGGCCTTGAATTTAATGGTATTTGTCTCAACCATTAATTTCTTCACAAGGACAGTTTCATGGTACACTTTAATGAATTAATGGTGTTTTAATGGGAAATTGATGCACTTTTAATACATCTGACAGGCAATAGTGTATACAACCATGGGCCTTTATTGAAACATGTGTCGTGTTGTAGTTTTGCAGGAGCGTCTCACTCGCCAGGAGGGAGACAATGAGAATGAGAGGAAGAGATTAGAAGATCTCATCGCCAGGATGGAGTCACAACTCCGAGATCAGACTAGGATGCTGGATGAGGTAAGTGATTGGCTCTGTCTCTGCCACTTGTATGTAGGCTCAAAGTCAGTCACTCATAATTCACACTTCTTTTCTTCATTTATGTAACTTTACTATACTGGGACTACTGGTTTTAGAGAAGAAGTTTGAGGAAGGCAGCTTGATCCAAAATTCATGTTTGATCTAGGACCGTTACTATGTATTGATCATGTTTATGGAACTAATATGCAGTGAATGTGTAAGACTCAGATCCATAGTAGGAATCAGATCTGTGATGGATTCTTACATCTGTGGCATGTACGTAGGGTAGATCTTAGAATGGCAAGAACCCCATGAAAATTCCAGGTTAGAAATGGTTTTCAGCAAGCCATGCTTGTCATAAGTGGCGACTTAAAGGATCGGGTGGACAGACTCACTGATTTGGTTGATGTATGTATCCCAATTGTGTAGAATGATCCTCCTGAGGTCCATCATTGTTTTGTATGGTCCACACTCAATTATTTACAGATCGCAGTCATACGGCTGGAATATTGCTGAGTGCAGCGGTAAAGTTTGTAATGTGATTTTGTTATAAATTTCACCATCCATGTGTGTCCATGGGCTGTAATTATCCTTGATTACAAATTAGCAACATCTGAGTGCTACAAATGCTTATTGATTCCACACCTAGCCATGCCACTCATGTTAGTGAAAGGTTAAATGATCTAGTCAGTCTTGAACATGTACATATTTCATCTCATAGGAACGGTGGAAGGTGAAACAGGACCACGGTCGTCTGGATTCACAACAGAAGTCCTTGGAAGAGGAGCGGAGGGTGTGGGTGGAGCATCAGGCCAGGGAGAGGGACATGATAGAGAGGACCAGGGTGAGGCAGACATTGTGTCAGGGAGAGACACATAATGGGGAGAACCAGGGTGAGGCAGACATTGTGTCAAGCAGAGGGACATAATAGAGAGAACCAGGGTATGGCAGACATTGTGTCAGGGAGAGGGACATGATGGGGAGAACCAGGGTGAGGGAGACATTGTGTCAGGGAGACCCGGAGAGGGACATGATAGAGAGAACCAGGGTGAGGCAGACATTGTGTCAGGGAGAGGGACATGATAGAGAGAACCAGGGTGAGGGAGACATTGTGTCAGGGAGAGGGACATGATAGAGAGAACCAGGGTGAGGGAGACATTGTGTCAGGGAGAGGGACATGATAGAGAGAACCAGGGTGAGGGAGACATTGTGTCAGGGAGAGGGACATGATAGAGAGAACCAGGGTGAGGCAGACATTGTGTCAGGGAGAAGGTCAGGGTGAGGCAGACATTGTGTCAGGGAGAAGGACATGATAGAGAGAACCAGGGTGAGGCAGACATTGTGTCAGGGAGAAGGTCAGGGTGAGGGAGACATTGTGTCAGGGAGAAGGACATAATAGAGAGAACCAGGGTGAGGCAGACATTGTGTCAGGGAGAAGGTCAGGGTGAGGGAGACATTGTGTCAGGGAGAGGGACATGATAGAGAGAACCAGGGTGAGGGAGACATTGTATCAGGGAGAAGGTCAGGGTGAGGGAGACATTGTGTCAGGGAGAGGGACATGATAGAGAGAACCAGGGTGAGGCAGACATTGTGTCAGGGAGAGGGACATGATAGAGAGAACCAGGGTGAGGCAGACATTGTGACAGGGAGAAGGACATGATAGAGAGAAAGAGGGTGAGGCAGACATTGTGTCAGGGAGGTCAGGGTGAGGCAGACATTGTGTCAGGGAGAGGGACATGATAGAGAGGACCTGGGTGAGGCAGGCTTTGTGTCAGGGAGGTCAGGGTGAGGCAGACTTTGTGTCAGGGAGGTCAGGGTGAGGCAGACATTGTGTCAGGGAGAGGGACATGATAGAGAGGACCAGGGTGAGGCAAACTTTGTGTCAGGGAGGTCAGGGTGAGGCAGACTTTGTGTCAGGGAGAAGGTCAGGGTGTGACAGACTTTGTGTCCGAGAGGGACATGATATGCAACTCACATGCGCAATGTTATGTGTCTGGCAGCTTAATGTTTTGGGGCAGGCAATTAGGTTGTAGTATTTCAATATCCCCATGGGAATACAGAGAAGCTTGTTATGTAGATTGTGTATTTCCTTGTCAGTCTGCCTTCCTGGAGGAACAGAGGTCATCTATGAACCAGATCAATGAGGAGAGGAGAGCTCTGGCTGAGGAGAGGACCAAGTTTAACATTGATCAGAAGATGATGAGAGAGAAAATGAACAGTGACTCCATCAAAGCTGCTCAGGTCAGGGAAATACCATTCTGTTATTTCTCATAAAGATTTCACATCTTGAATCTGTGTATTCACGTTGTTGTTGTTGTTGTTGTTGTTATCATTGGTATTCATTAAATGGAATGGCTTCACATCATGAGTGGCATTTCTGGTTAACAAATTTGTAAACAAGAAATTTTGTAAACAAAAAAGAGTGACTTAAAGTTGCCTATTCTTGCCTCCACGGTCTGGTTGTAGAGTACCCTCCCTGAGAGCAGAAGTTCCGGGGGTTCGATCCCTAGCCGTGTCATACCAAAAGACGTTAAAAAATGGTACTTGTACTTGGGCATTAGGGGGAAAAAAAACAAAGAAATAGTCCAATGACAGCATTATGGTTTTAGTTTTTTGGGCAAAAGCAAGAACCTTTTCATTTTCACACCAAAAGAAAAATGAAACTGACATCTTGGAGTATTCTCTGACGGGTCCTGTTTTGTTTTCCAGGCTGAGGCTGAGTATGATGTGTTAGTGAAGTCCATAGCTGAGGAGCGTTCCAAGTCATCTCAGAGACTACAGGAACTGCACAGAGAGGAAGACAGGATGGATGCAGAACGAACACGCCTGGAGAGAGAGAAGGCTAAGATTGATGCAGAGAAGGACAGACTGTCTGACCTGGCCATTCAGGTGAAACAGAAGTCTGCAGAAGTCGACTCGATGAGTGAGGTAAGTTCATCGGACGTTTTAGACATGGTGCAGTGGGCCCTTTCTGGAAGCTGGAAACTGATTTATCTCAATGCAATAAGAAAGTATGTTCCCTACTTGAAGCTTCATGTGTTGGGACTGAATTCTTTTCGTAAGACTAATAACAACTGAAACTATTATAAAGTCCTTCTTTTTGCAGCTGGCATCGCGATCTCACCGAGATGGAGAGAAGTCGCTGTTGGAGGCGAGACAGATAGAGTCCCACCACAACCAGCGTCTGGACGAGATACAGCGACAGCTCCAGAACATCAGGAACATGGAGGAACACATCTCGGAGGTAGGGCACAGACACTGCAAGGAGCTGAGATATGGTTGGGTCCCAAGGAATACATGCTTGTCAGGAAAGCTGATGAAACGGGCCGGGTTTTGGGTGGTAACATCGTGTAACCTGGCTGTATTTTCAAGTGGCATTTCGCTGCTGTAGTAGCAGTAAAGACAAGGTTGACTTATGGATTTCATCCTCTTTCTGGTCATCTTTATTCATCTGCTGGAACATCAATCGAGACCACATTGAGTGAAAATGGAATATTTTTTCACAGAAACAATTATTTGCCCTGCCTACCACGCCTACCCACATCAAATTCTCAAAAGTCATGGACTGAGAATAGATTGGGTTTATATGTTTGGTTGTTATTGTTGTTTAGCGCCACCCTCAGCAATATTCCAGCTATATGACGCCAGTCTGTAAATAATCAAGCCGGGGCCAGACAATCCAGTGATTGGCATCATGAGCATCGATCCACGCATTTGGGAGACAATGACATGCATCAACCAAGTCATAGAGCCTGACCACCCAATCCCGTTAGTCGCCCCTTATGACAAGCTTAGTCGCCTTTTATTTTTGGTATGTTGAATTATAAACCTTGCAGTGTTAAGAATCGTTTATTTTCAGGAGAAGTTGCGACTTGCTAAGGAGAAGAAGGATGTGGAAAACCTGAAGAACTCTTCTCTGTGTACAAACTGTCGGACACCGTTGCGACCTGGAGACTCCAACCTTGTTCCTGCACACAGTCAGTGGAAACTCCCATCTCTCACATACTGTGAAACCCTGTTAATCAGAATGTTAGGGTCCAATTGCAGTTGTCCAGATTAACAAATTTCCAGAGTAGCGAATCATGGTTATGTTTGTTTGTTTGTTGTTTAACGCCGCACTCAGCAATAGTCCAGCTATATGACGGCGGTCTATAAATAATTAAGTCTGGACCAGACAATCCTGTGATTGACATCATGAGCATCGATCCACGCAATTGGGATCGATGACATGTATCAACCAAGTCAGCAAGCCTGACCACGTGATCCCATTAGTCGCCTTTTATGGCAAGCATAGTCGCCTTTTACAGCAAGTATGGGTTGCTGAAGACCTATTCTACCCCGGAATCTTCACGGGGACCATGGTTATGTAATGCCACTTTGTGCAATAATCTTGAACACGACGTTAAACCCCTTTTAACCTCACCTCACATTACTAACTTTTCCTTTCGTCACCGAATGAATAGTTTCTGTTGTTGCATAATAGTCCTCCCAATGTCCTCACTGTCCTCTGTTTTGTTGCAGTGCCGATGACGACGGGAGGACCGATGATGTCCCCTGTCAATGGTATGCGAACTCCAATGCATGCTGGGAACATGATGTATCATGGTAATTCGGGTATGAATTTTTCCTTCAATGCCATCGAGTCCATAACATCATCGATAGCAGCAGACAGATCAGTACGTATGTGGAAGATTGAAGCCTTGAAGGTGAGTTAGTGAGGGAGTTGGCTTGAGTGGGAGTGGGAGACAAATGGGAGTGGTTTATTGTACAATAAAACACTGCAGGGAGAATAAACCGTGAGGGCATGAGTCGTTTGTTTCTTATACGAGATATCAACATTATATATAGACTCTTTAAGGATGACGATAAATTGTACAAGCTTTAAAAATATTTACCCGTATTTAAATAATGATGTCTTCCGCAATAAGTCCATTTTATGCAACGGTGGGTATTTCCCAGATATTCTCACAATCCTAACTTCGATTACCTGTATCTTTTGTCCCAATACCGATTGTCGTATCTCTCCTGCTTTGGGATGTGATCGTTCGGCCATCACGTTTATCTGTATTACCCAGCTACATCTATGGGGAACAACTCACCAGACACTCCCCTCTCAAAAATAACATCGTCATATATACGTCATCAAGTTGTGAGCGCATGTTCGAATCTCCAGAAATGACGTCATGATAGAACAATGTGAAATAAACCATGCTTCGTTCTTCATTATTCTTTGCGATTTATCGTGTAGCTATCTTATATATTATGATACACGTTCACACAGCTGGGTAGTGACTGGTATTTTGTGAAGTCTCCACCTGTAGGGGTTGATGCACCATCGCTGCCAAAATTTTCTCAACACTTTTGACAGATGCTAGCGTTTTTAGACATGTTGTATCACCTATGTGCCCCTGCAGAATATTTTCTCATTGGATCACAATGATTTCATCAATTGCATCAACTTTTAGGTGACCTGTTTAAGGTCAAGGTCACATGAAACATGGCTCAAATTTCTGGAAATTTTGTATTCATTCCTGCAAAATCAAAGCAATTTCCTATCAGTTATCATTTGTCACTATTGTGTCAGATGTCAAGGTCAGTTTGAAGGTCATTCACTTATGAATGACTCCTGAAATAGTTTCATTCTGAAAGTATTGTCATTATTTCTAACACCACATATGTTTGCAACAAGTAATGCTTTTGATGACCTCCAATGAAGGTCAAGGTCAAAAGAAACTTCATTGTAAAAACATTGAATACTTGGTTTTAATTCCTGATAATACAAAACATCTTTCAATGAGAACATAAGCACTCTCTTTGATTGGATGGAGCTGCTTCTGTGCACCTTTCTAGTCACGAACTGGAATTAAGCAAAGATCGGACTTGCGTTTTGAAAGGTTGCAACAAGTGATTTAGATTGGAGTTATCTGTTTGGAATGAATATGAGTTGTTATGTTGTTGTTTTTTCGTGGATTTGTTGTAGCTTAACTGTAATTGGAATGCATTCTCATTTAAATTTGACATTTTTCAATTCAGGACAAGGAGTACTTAGAAGAGGAAAGCATATTCTTAGAGACACTGAAACATTCTCCATATCATGGCTCACAGAAAATCTGACCTCACTAGTGGTTCCGGTCATCCATTGAATTACAGATGAAGGAATGATGTCTGCAGTTTGTGACTATCAGATGTAGCATGAAGTGCTTGCATTTTTAATCATCTTCCGTCCTAAGGGTGTGTCAAGTGTGATCAGTTCATTGGAGATGAATATTTTGAAATTGCATACAGCAATAGTCAGTGGAACGACAGTGAAATCCGAACATAGTGTAGACAGGAATTGGACCCGACTCGCCATAGATCTGTAGAAGTGCAGGGCTTGACACAGACTGTTTGTAGCCATTACAACTGTCATGTGTTAAAATGGGGTTACAGTCATATTGCCAAGATATTTTTGTGAACAATGGAGGTTGGAGGTGAAACTGGGAGGTACCAAGAGGACCAAGCCGGGATGCAGACATTGGACTGATTGCTGTCTCAGTTTGTGTGTTGTGGCCCTCTGTGTCGTAGTCATGTATCTCCTATACACATCATGTGTCCGTCCTGTACTCATCTTGCCCTCCTGTGTACATCATGTGTCCGTCCTGTACTCACCTTGCCCTCCTGTGTACATCATGTGTCCGTCCTTTAGTCCCGTAGTAGTCATGTACAGTCAAGTCTCGTTAATCCGACAATCGGATTTATCTGACACTAATGATGGGAACCGATTAAATCAGTGCTATTTAGACCCGTTAATCTCGCACTCCAACACGCCTAATTTGCAACGAATTACAGAAATCACTCATTAATCAGTCTCGTTAATCTGACAGTGATCAGCGTACGGCATGGTCATCTGCATGGTGATGCGAGACGAGTCGGCTGCAGAGACAAACTTGCTTAACAATAAACTATTTATGCTTTAAATAAACAAAACACATGCTTAGATTACGTCATATACGTCATGTAGCAGTCCTCTATGTTCTAGTGGGGCGGTCGGGAAGCCTAGTGGTTAAAGCGTTCGCTCGTCACGCCGAAGACCGGGTTCGAATCCCGATATGGGTACAATGTCTGAAGCCCATTTCTGGTATCCCCTGCCGTGCTATTGCTGGAATATTGCTAAAAGCGGCGTAAAACCAAAACTCACTCACTCACTATGTGCTAGTAGCCAAGACCATAGATTCAGATGGCAATCATGTACAAAGAGTAGACTACATATGTATTAATGCATTTTTCCGATCAACTAAACATAATTTGCTAAAGCTAAAGACAAGCAAAACCTTGTCAGCAAATGGTCAGCCCATGATTCAGCAAATGGTCAGCAAATGATTGGATATCGCGTTTTCATTACAAGGGACACAACTCGTGATCTAGGTGGTGCCAGGTTCGAGCCTAGAAAAGTGGCCTTCATGTGGCAAGGGTAAAAACTAGGCTTGGATATAGGCTAGAGGACATGCTTGCTTTGGGAAGACACCTTAAGACAACATTGAAGGAGTAATGTCAGTACAACACTCACATGGTTGTCATGCCAACCAGGGGGTGGTCGGGTAGCCTAGTGGTTAAAGCGTTCACTCGTCACGCCGAAGACCTGAGTTTGAATCCTGACATGGGTACAATGTGTGAAGCCCATTTCTGATGTCCCTCGCCATGATGTTGCTGGAATATTGCTAAAAGCGGCATAAAACCAAACTCACACACTCACACACACTCACTCACTCATGCCAACCACCATGTCTTACTGAGTGTGCTTCAAGACATGTCACCATTGGTCCTCACAAATTCATACTGGTATGATAAGCATGTTGTGCATTTGATGTGTTGTTGAACAACTTTGCATATCTCCCTGATATTTGTTAGTTTATTAACAAAACAGTTCACATATATGTTACATAACATGATTTAATGTACCGGGTAATGTCTAATTACTTGTCAATAGATCATCCTTGTCTGTACAGTGACATACCAAATAACAACGAAACTTTGACGTAACAAAGAGTGACCAGTTCTACCTAACTCTGTTCATTATCGTCTTCTGTTGCCTTGGACTATTGTTTCTGTGATCCCAGTGTCTTCTGTGCTGACCATTGCATGAGGCCTTACGTTCTAGAAATATGTTGATGTTTGACTTTAAATAATCAAGTTAACAAATAATCTACAGAATCTCAGTATTAACCATGAATCCTCTGTAATGTGTCAGTGTCTGTAATCTACCTATAATCTGTAACACTTATCAGATGAAATAATGTAAGAAATTTGGATAACCACACATTTTCTCACTGACTTCAACATAGCATTTTCTGTACAAGATGTCATTTTCCTATTCACAGTGATGAGAATCTTCCGCGGATCCGCATATTTTAGTGACCAAACATTTGTTGGCTTCCCCCATAAACACCCCCAAATTGTAGACCACACTTCATTGCAAAGAAGTTTCAGCTGAAAAGGAAAAATCCATTCTCATCCCTGTATTTAAAGAGTATTTGCATGACACTGATGTCTAAGATCCATTAATAAGCAGTTTAGTTTTGTGTTTCTATTTCAGTATTTGGCTATAGACTGCATTACTTCAGACTGAAAGTATTGTTTTTGTCACACCAACTCAAACAAGAACAAAAAGTTGGCTGCCTGTCCAACCCAATTTCTTATCTTCAGGGGGTGCAGTTGGGTAGCTTAATGGTTAATGCGTTCACTCGTCACACCAAAGGCCCGGGTTCGATTCCCCACATTGGTCCCTCAACGTGATATTGCTGGAATATTGCTAAAAGTGGCGTAAAACCATACTCAATCACTTTTCTTCAGGGTTATGTGAAACAGTTTGAAATTAAGCGTGAACGTTGAGGGATGCTTCTCATAACCTAATGTTAATAGTATAAGATTTGAGGGGTGTTAGATACAAATCCTCGTGGATCCTTAATTTCAAACACCGCTGTCTGACAGGGAACTGGACTACAGATGATATCTTATTGTTGAATAGATTCTTGTCCTCAATAAAAACTTTGCTATACCCGGTACTAGTTCAGGGATAGACATTGCCACTTGTCCGTTAGTCCGAGACAAGTGAAAATTTAAAGGGACTAGTTTTTTGCATCCAAAATCTAGTTATTTGCAAAAAACACTTGTCCAAATTGAGCTGCGACAAGTGAGATATGAGCAATAGTCTTACCCCTGCTACTCTCAGTATTAGCTGCTTATGGTTTATCACATTCTTTGTGAAAACGTGGGGAGTTTGTTCCACAAAATCCCATCAACAAGCTAAAAACAATAATAGTCCTTGTTCTCAGGCGCCGCGTGCATCTTCATAAAGTCTGCCGCATGTTTCGTTTTTATTTCCATTTTCAAAAAAATATAAAAATCCTAATACTTAAAAACAATGTGATCCAATATAGCACACAGTTACTTCCCTTTCCATGCACACTGCTTTACTGTGCATCTCGTGTTATGGTCATGGCGGCAGTAGGAGTTTGTATGCCTGTTTATGTACGGAGGCCCTTTCCCAGGTTGATGGTACACAACTGTTTATTTGGTTACATACTAGTTTGAACAAACCCCCAAAAAAGCACCGCCTGCCCGCACTTTATTTTCAAAAGTCATTGCCTGAGAACCAATTCTTTTACTTTTTAAGGCCTCAATAAAGGGTTGAACATGTTACAATTGGAGATAACTATTGTGATGACAAAAAATATTTGAATTTTAATGTATGGTGATCGAAGTGTTTTGATACGTTGAGATGTATTTTGCTCAAAACATTTTATTTGCCTTCCTAAATGTCTGTGATATTTTATTGTGTTTTATGTGGAAGGAGCATATATTGTGCCTTGGAAGGGTATGACTCCATATCATCCATTAACCTGTTGTTTTACATTGTAGTGTATCTTGTATCCTATGAACTCAAGCATATACTAGTATATCAACCTTGTCATCACCTATGAGACCGCCTTGTATGATTTTTTGAGTATCAAGTAACCCTTTTGACCTTGACACTTTTGTTAAATGTTGTTGAATGTCAAGGGCAAAGGGCTTCCATGTTTCCACCCACCAGTGACACTGTGGTACAATGATATAATCCAAATGTTGATAAGGAAAAGCAAACCCTACATATATAATCAGCATAAGCATCAGTGGTTAAGCATTTGCTCGTCACAGGTATGCGATGTGTGAAACCCACTTTAGGTATTCCCCGCTGGGATACTGCTGACAATTTGCTAAGACAGTAAGAGCAGCAAACACACACACACACACACACACACACACACACACACACACACACACACACACACACACACACAAATAATTGCAACAATTGCAACAAAAAGTTGTCACATCGCAACATTCCCTTACTTTTTAAAGTCATAGACATTTTTTTCACAACACTGAAGTCGCAGTGTGTCAATTGTCCAATACAGAAAATGGCTTCATGATTTTGCGGTAGCAGGCTGTATACTAAATTTCTTCACTCTCAGTACAGATAAGCTCACCATCATTAATTAATGTTGCTACACAACTAGGGAGAGATGATGTAATTCCCCTTAGTTACACATAAATGTCAAAATCATGAGTAACTACATAGCCTAATAAACAGAAGAGCCATGTTAAGTTCTTCTGAGTAGTATATCAAACTACACAATACACATACCCGACATGGGTACAATGTGTGAAGCCCATTTCTGGTGTCCCCCACCGTGATATTGCTGGAATATTGCTAAAAGCGGCGTAAAACCATACTCACTCACTCACAATACACATACAGTACAGGAAGAAGTATTTCGCCTGTATTAAAAAGTTGTAGTTTCGTTTAAACTGAAAGATCTGCACTAATTAGTTCAAAGGTTAGAAAATGCAAATACTGTATCAATCAATACTCACAACGTGATTTAATGTGTTTTTCGTTGTGAACAGTCCTATCAAGACAGGAAATAGCATACAAGGAAGGAGTCTTTTTCCTGTTCTGAAATATACATCAGCATGTCCTGTAGTAGTATCCATGGTAACACAGTAAACATCGCCATCGCCAGGCCTGTTGATTTCAAACAGGAAGAATGTGTGCTACCAGTTTCCTGGTAGAAACCACAGGTAAGTTTATACCAAGCTGCATGATATCACATAAATTTCTTTTTAAATAATATGCGGTTAGTATAGTCCTCTCAATGTATTCAATGGCTCACAGTGGCGATATCATGTGAATTGTATGAATAGTATTTATGATATTTGTCAACTTCCCATAGATTTGGCTTGGCAGGTTTGGTGATTTAGTTTGTTGTTTAACGCCGCTCTCAGCAATATTCCAGTTATATGACAGTGATCTGTCAATAATCAAGTCTGGTCCAATCTAGTGATTGACATCATGAGCATCGATCCACACAATTAGGACACGATGACGTGCATCAACCAAATCAGCAAGCCTGACCACCCGATCCTGTTAGTCGCATCTTACAGCAAGCATTAGTTGCTGAACCACTGATAGCTAGACAGTGTCAGCAGTCTGTATGTTACAGATGTTTGCTGTCAGAATGTGCAGAGTATTTAGATTTTTCTAAGATAGATTAAATCACACAGATTCTAAAATACCTATGTATTAAACTTCAAAATCTATTGAAAAAGGATGTCACTGTGCACACTGTGTTATTCACACTTCTTACATACAGATTACCCTGTGGGGATTTGAGTTAGAATGGCCCCCAGCATCCTATGCTGGTCGTAAGACATGACTAATGGATTGGATGTGGGTTGTTAGGCCAGTTTGTTCATTGCTTCATCAGACCCTGACCGCATGGTTCATTAAACGCCAGATAAATATATACCAAGCCAAACATATATCACTATTTCTAAATTTATTCATACCAGGGAACATCATTAAGTGCAAATCCGGGTTAGAATTCAGCAACCCATGTTTGTCATCATAGGCGTCTGATAGGATCAGGTGGTCAGGCTTGCTTAATTGGTTGAGGGGCGGTCGGGTAGCCTAATGGTTAAAGTGTTTGCTCGTCACGCCGAAGACCCGGGTTCGATTCCCGACATGGGTACAATGTGTGAAGCCCATTTCTGGTGTCCCCCGCCGTGATATTGCTGGAATATTGCTAAAAGCGGCGTAAAACCATACTCAGTCAGTCAGTTAATTGGTTGATGCATGTCATCATAATGATGTCAACCACTGTCAACCACTGAATGGTCTGTTCCAGACTCGATTATTTACAGACCGCCATCATATACCTGGAATATTGCTGAGTGCGGTGTTTAACAACAAACAAACCAAACCTGAAGTACAAGAGTCAGTAGATGTTTTAGCTCAGAACCTTACTTCAGGGTCAGATTCACTTTAAGATAGTCTTGCCCTAATGGGTCTCAATTTAAGATCTGAAAATAAAGCCTTGTTTCTTCCATGTCTATTCTCATGGGAGAATCTTCTGTCAGGGACTTCCTCTCTGAACTTGTTGGAAGCTGCACACCCAAAACTAACTGACAGTATGAATTTATTGATGATAGAACTATGCTAATTATGATAATATGCACTGTAAAGTTTTACAGATTGGTCAAGCTTCTGTGTACACATCAAACCACCTGTCAAGACCGATGATGTGTGGCGTCATGTGATTGAGGTAAAAAAAGAAGTCACACCCCACTGCTGTACTGCTCTGACAGAAATGAACCAGACATTTTACAACTTGTTAAGAACAGAATTTATAATGTGATATATTTCTTTACAATCTACAAACCCATCTTCACTCCTGTCTCTGAAGATTTAAAGTGCACTGCATGTTTAATGCATTACACTTTAAATCTTCAAAGAGACAGAGTTCTGAGGTGAGGTGAATTCGGGTTTATCATCGTGTTCAAGATTACTTCCCTTATAGAGCAATGCAAATGTCTGAGCGCTTGTACTAGACATATACTGCATTCGACATAATAAGTGCCCTGCTCTAATAAACACCCACGCGATACTAATATATTGGCTTGTGAACAATCCCAATTAGCACCCCTTCCGATTGATCAATGTACAAAAGACTTATTTGTAATATGCACTCGTTTGTTATACGCACCCTTAATTATGGGCAATTAAATTCTGGAAAAATATATCTGTCGTATATAAACATTTCAGGCTGTCAGCATAAACCATGAAATTGATCTTTCAACTTTTTTCACCAAAATAACATTGTAATAAGAGTTCCCTATTTCTAATTTTGAGAGCACCCTGGGCGCTTATTATGTCGAATACGGTATGCTAGTTTACAGTGCTCCAACTGCAATTTAACATGGACTTCCCTGTTAGACACATACTGACTCCTAGCCGACCAGTCCTTGTTTTATCCCCTAATACCTAAATGCCATTATGTTGGTCTGACGAATCCAGGGGATCGAACACTTACCTTCCTCTCTCAAGGCAACGCTCTATCCACTACACTTACAGCGGTTACTCGAGTTTTGAATTTAAAAAGTTAATATTATTTAGTTATTGATAACTATAATAAGTTACTGATGCCTTGGAGTATACATTGGATATGGTACAGGTGTGGTCCTTGGTGCCCTGTACTATAGTGGTTGGAATATGTAGTTTCCGCACTTGTAGTGCTGGTAGATTAGTGTCCTTTTGTAATATTATATATCAGCTTGTGGTAGAGAGTCCTCATGAACCCACCGGATTGATGTGGAAGTGATGTATGCCAGGGATGGCAGTTGTGATCAAACTGTTATAATATATATATATATACATATATATACAAGCATATCATATTTATAGAATGTCAACCATCTGTGACCTTACTGGTGCATATCAACTGGGTAATAAACATTTTGTACACGAAACAGTTGTTTGGCCATGTTTCTTGGAGAAGAAGAATGAGATTACATGAAGGTGTATGACAACCTCTGTATTTAGTATAATTTAGGTCAGACCAAGTTTATATTTTTCTTAAAGAGTTTTTTGGTTATTTGGCAAAACACAGGAGGCAAATTCGGAACGGTTAAGGTAAATTTCTTTAACAGAAATAGAAATATATGCTAATAAATGTTTTTAAATATTTCATAAAATTATTCAATGATTTTCAAAATTGAGTGCAGCTTTACTGATCCATCAAGACATCTTAGTTTTGCCAAAGTTCTCATGCTGGGCTGTTCTACTAAATGTTGATCAATGACGTCCTTTAGACTTGTTTGTTTATTGCTGCACTCAGCAATATTTCAGCTATATGATGGCGGATGACATATAGTCGCCTTTTACAGCAAGCATGGGTTTCTGAAGACCTATTCTACCCCAATGACTTCATGGTCTCCACATCGGATTTCAACAGTGTACACACAGCAAGTCCTGATAGAATAACAGTACCAGGTCTTCGCAACGTTCATTGCAATTCAACAGGCCGGTTTCAGCAACATGTTTCATAATGGAGCAATAATAGCAGAAATGAACACAAAATGACACTCCAAGATCAAGTACACTCTTTATTAAACTAAATCACACAAAATGAACATGAATGAACACTATGAAGCTCATTACCGCATATTTCCTACAACTACTCACATTCCGAATAAATTATATATAAACTTATATAAATCTGTATACAATGTGCAAAAATAATTTCATTTTTACATAACACGTGCAGGATGAAATACAAAGGGAATGTTTGACATGTTAGATGTCATGATTTTGATGAATATATGTTTAACCTTGTTCCATAGACCAACCATGATATAACAAATGTCTATTATGTAGCCATCATTTCTTGTGGTATCTAGTTCTTAAATATATAAATTGTTACATGAAGTGGATTTCAATGCATAACTCTATATAAATAATTTATTATCATTAATTATGAATTCGTGAATCCATACATTTTCGTGATACTGGGGGTACTACCAAGTTACCAAGGCTCCAAAACATCTAGCTGCCTGGTCATGAGAAATGGAGAAAAATCAATTCAAGAAATATCTGTCGCATATGAAACACATCAAATATAATGATTTCAACATCCATGTCAACTATGCCCATTTACAGGTTTTCTTGTTTTAACTTTGGGGTTCCGAATATGCAGAACAAACAGCTACATGTATATCTACCAAGCATCCTGTTGTCATGGACAATCAAGAGACATTCTGGACTTTGAGTGAGTTGAGTTTAACTTTCCTTTGAACAATATTCCAGTTGTATCACGGCGTGTTAGCTTAATGTGGGAGGAAAGCCTGAATTGAAGTATTTTTCCCATCTCATTAAAATCATATCTTAGTTCTCGCTACAGCTAAACAAAGATCTGAGGACATCCCATTGCGGGTCATGTCAGAAC